AGAAAAGCGGCCTCGGGGCCAGCGGTGCAGGGGGGGTGGTCTTCGGAGCAGGTCGGACCGGGCCCCTCCGTGTCCTGCTGTGACGCCCTGCAGAGGAGGATGTGGCTAAACCTCCCTGGTTCCAGACTGAACGGGCTGCACTTTGTGAGAAAGACTCCCGGCTTTCCAGGCCGGTGCTGACATTCAGAACGGCTCATGGGCATTCGGGGGCCCTGCTGGAACGAAAACACAAGAACGGCTTGTAAACTGGCCGCTGGAACGTGCTGGGAGCCTGTTCTCAGCCCTTGTTTCAACGCCGCTGGTCAGGCTGTGACTGCAAAGGTCTGCACTTGTTCTTTGAGGGGCTGGCAGGTGACCTCGGCAGCGTCTGGCTGGCACAGGACACTGGGACCCTACCTACAGGAAGCAGGCCTCGGCCCCACACAACTAGCTCCCGTTTCCCAGACTCCCGGGTACTGTGATGCACGCACTGGCCACCTTGGCTGAGCCCTGACTATGTGCAGGGCCTTTGTGGTGTCAGGAACCCAGAGGAAGTGAGCACAGCCAGTGGGGAATGGACAAGGCAGGGCGGTACTGATAGGAGCTTCCACCTAATGGCGATCTGTCAGGCCACCCACCTGGTGATCTGGACAGTCCCTGTTCCTGGACTCACCGAGGCCTCAGTGTGGTGTGTCGGGCATCAGGGCCGGGCCTGGGCTGCGGGTTTGGCTCCAACACAGATTCCCTGGCCGTGTCAGGCTGGGCCCGTCTCTTCGTCATAAAGCAGTTTTATTCTGCTGGCTGCCTGGTGGGAGCTGAGGTGCTGGAGAGGTAAATGGAGACTTTTCGACCAAAGCTTGTTGCTTGGGATCAGTGTGTAGGAACCAGGTGTTCACAGACTCAGAGACTCAGCTTAATCCACCCTCCCCGTCGAGGCAGCGTCACCGTGCAGCCTGTCCGCCTGGGGCCGGCTCCTCAGGGAACTGACAGCACACTGGCTTTCGGCCTTTTCTTTACTCAGAACATGGTCTGGCCCCCCTGCTGCCCCCCTTCCGCTCCGTCTGCCCACGAAGAAGGAATAGCCACCATACTGAGTGCTTACTGTTGGGTATTCATCGTTTATTCTTCAACAGCAACCCTGTGCAGTAGGCAGGTACTGTTAACGTCCCCACTGTACACGTGAGGAAACCGGGGCACAGAGAGGTTAGGTAACTTGCTTAAGATCACACAGCCATAGGCAGCAACAGTCCTTTCATCCCATGGTCCACAGTAACCACAGGGATTTAAAGGTGGTGGCCGGAATCTTTCCCCAGGCCCAAGGGGCACAGTGTAGGGTCCCCTCAGCTCCTCTGGGCGTGCTCAGTGTTGGCCAAGAGGCTCTGAACAAACAGGGGCTTCCTGTACCCGTGCCCCATTCACGGAGCCCAGGGATTCATTGGTACCCCTAGACGGGACTTGTGTGATTCTTGGGGTGTGTCCTGAACCACAGTGAGCCCGGGCTCTCCTCCCCCAAGCTGCTGTGCCCCAGTCCCCCTCCGTCATCGGTCAGAGCTGCAGAGTTTTGTTTCCCATCTGCCTGACTGCTCCTGCAGGACCTGCCAAGTAGCCGCCACACACAGTGGCCCAGGTTGTGTGCTGCCAGCCCCACGGGCACTCCTCACACAGGCTGTGGAACGAAGGAGCCCTCGCCCCAGAGCTGTGATCACCGCCCGCCCCATTCCCTAGGCAGCAGGTCTGTCTTGGGTTCTGACTGGAGCTGGCTGGGTGTTTTGCTTCCCCTTGAAAGGTATTTTCCAGACATTCAGTGGACATTCAGTGGTTCTGGAATTGTGTCTCCATGCCCTGTCCCAGCTGGAGTTGGGTGGGAGCTGGTCCTCCCGGAAGCTGCCCCTCATTGGCCAGAGGAATGAGGCAGCCCAGGGCCCATGTGCCCGGTGCCGACTGCAACCCAGGCCTCTCGACTCCAGGGCCACGGTCGTCGTCCTGCTCCCCCAGGCTGCTCCCCCTCCTGTTGTGTCATCCTGTTCCTAAGTACCACGGGGGCACGTAGAGGGCAAGCAGCTCTCCTCCTCAGGTTTCCTGACAGGCGGCTGATGCTGGGTTTGGGTCCTCTTTCAGCTCCTTGTGGACCAAGTACAGAGAGGCCACAAACAGCGGGGGCCTGGCGTCTGGGGTGTGGATTTAGCTGTGACTCATTAGAGAGCACAGAGTTGGGACTAGAGACTCCAGTGTCTCCCAGAGGGGGGTAAGGCAGGGCAGTGCTACATCGGGGTAAGCACGGCTTGTTCCGTTCGGGGCTTCTGTGGCTTTGGAGGTAGGTATGTGGCTACAGTCCACGCTTGTGCTCATCAGACAATGAGTGTTGATTCTGTACCCGGCCACTGTTCATCCCAGGTGTGCGTGCAGCAACCCCGTGGCCCTTCCTGTGAGAGTTCATGGTCTGCTGGGGAAACCAGTGTTCATAACGGGTTGTGGAAGGACCCGGCAAGCTCAGGGGCTCCCGTTGTCTGCTGGCCCACGCTCAGCATGTTTCCCCGGCACTGGGAGCTGAAGGAACTCCCTGGACTTGTGATGCACCAGCAGCCCAGCAGCCCACCGTGGCCTTGACACCCTCCTGTAGACCCCGTGTAAGACTATAGGTTGTCAAGGGAGTAGCCACCCCTGTGTTGGGAGGTGAGGGAGAGGAGGTGGCTGGTGCCAAAAGGTTCTACCCCAAAGACGCCTACGCTGGGTCTTGAAGGGTGAGACGGTCACATAGGGTCGTATTTATACCCCAGTTACACAGGCCGGTGCTGCCTTCTGCGGCTGTTTGTGCCTCCGGGGTGATTTATATGGTCTATTTCTGGAGTGTCCCTCCTAGCCGGGAGGGCATTGGGAGCAAATGCCACATCTGTTTGCCTTCACGGGGCTCTCGGATGCTGGGTGGCCACGCCCCCGCCCGCGAGCTCCTGCCCTGGCAGGCGGTGATGGGGGGCCTCCGAGGCTCGTTCTGAGTGCACAGGAGTCCCCAGGCAGGAGCCAGGCCAGACCAGTGATCGCCACTCACTAAGGTGATAATTTGCCGTTGTCCTGAGCAAGTATAGATTTCATTTGTCTAGGCAGTAGTTGCAAATTGGATGTGGGCAGGCAGGGACAGAGATGTCATTTGAAAACCAAAGTGCTGAGGGAAGTGGAGGAGTGTGTGCTGTAGGTTGAGGGGGATGTCAGAGGGGAAGAGAATAAATGCCACCTTGTTTATGACGCCGGCACGAGGATTTCCTTTAAAGTCAGGTTCACTGAGGTATACTCTGCATGCAGTAAAATGCATCTTTTAGGTGCAGTTCTTTGAGTTTTGACAAACCTATCCAATCCTGTGACCACCACAACAGTCAAGATACCAAACACTGCCATCACCCCAAGACTTTCCGGGTTCCCTTCCAAAGTCAACCCCAGCCCAACCTCTGGCAACCACGAATCTGCTCTCTGCACTTACAGTTTTGCTTCTTCCAGATGTCACATAGATGGAATCATATATGTGATTCCATTTGAGTCTAGCTTGAACTCAGCAAAAATGCCTTTGAGATTCGTCCACGTTACGGCACCCGTCAGCACCTCGTTCCGTTTAGTTGCCGACTGTGTGCCATGGTGTGGATGTGCCGCGGTCCATCCCATGCTCTGGCTGAAGGGAGGACACGGGTTGTTTCACTTTGGGGTGTCGCACACAGAGGCTGTAACCCTTTGCAGGCAGGTCTGTGTGCACGTGGGTTTTCATTCTGCTGAGTTAATTTCCAGGGGGGGATTGCTGATTCATGTGGTTGGTGTGTGTTGAACTTCGTAAGAAACTGCCACACTGCTTTCCGAAGGGCGGTGTCAGTTTGCGTCCTGCCCGTTCAGCGCTCGTTCCTGGTGAAATGGGCAGGCTACGGTGAAAGGTGCCGCAGAGGCTCCGTCGAGGCTTTGGGGCCGCAGGGCGGCCGGCGGAGAGGAGGACCAGGAGGAGGGACCCGAGGACACGGCTGCCTGGTGCCCTGCACCCCTTCGGGGTCCCTCTCTATTCTCGCTATAGGAGTGACCCTCGGGCCCTTGCCGGCCGCTTGTTGGGCCTGTTTCTGTCACGGCTCTGGGGACGGATGGGTTTTACACACTGGGCACGGAGCCCTGCCGGGCCTCACGCTCAGAGCAGCAATGCCAGATAAATGACCACGTTTCCTGCAGCCGCTGCTTGTGGCCGTCTCTCCCTGCAGCTGCGCCCGGAGTGTTCTGGGGGTCATTCTGGCTGTATGGGGGACAGAGACAGGCACTGGGGGTGGTGAGCCCCCACCCCGTGATGGAAAGCCTGGACACGGAGCCCAGCGTATTCGCCGGCACCAAGAGCGTGCTTAGGGCCCAGACCAGCAGGGACGAGAAAGAGGGACAGAATGATTGCCAGTCCCTGGCCTTGGGAAATGGATGGTCCTTAGGGGTGGGGGCGGCGAGCATCATACACCCAGGCTCAGCAGCATTGCCAAAGGGGACATGTGGCAGTTCAGGGACCCTGGTCCTGAAACTGGCGTTGACGGCCACACCTGTCATGCAGAGAAGTACGCTGAAGGCTGGGCTGTCATTTGGGTGATGTGAATTAGGACTTAAATGACCATGAGAGCTCTCCAGTTGCTGAGGAGGGGGCCAGGACAGTGGGGGCAGCAGGGCCGTGACAGGGGCCCATGGAGAAGACAGTCCATTTGCATGACCCCTGCCAGGGCTGCCCTTCCGCCACTTCCTCCCTGAAAAAGTGGGATCTGAGACCCATGGGCCCATATGGGATCCTGGAGGCTGGCCAACTCAGGGGTCCCCAAAGAGGGGGCAAGCACCATCTCTAGGTCTCTCGAGACCTGAGTCAGAACGGGGAGGAGTGGAGAGAGAGATAAGCAGCTTACTGGAGGTCACCAGCAGCCTGGGGTCAGAGCGCTGGGTAAACCGAGTCATCTGCTGGGTCAGCAGTGTCCTGCCAGGACTAATACAGAACTAACGAGGTGTCCTGTGTCTGTCCGTCCACCCACCAGGTGCAAGTTCTTCAGTCTGACCGAGACGCCGGAGGACTACACCATCATTGTCGATGAGGAGGGCTTCCTGGGTGAGTGAGTGCTTCTCTCCGGGGGGCTTTGGCCGGGCCGGGCCCTCGGTCAGTGCTGGCTGCCCGCCTCCCGTTCCTACCACTGCTGGTGACTTAGACAGTCAGTAGACAGTCTGTCTTCGCTCCCTGCGTCTGGCTGATGGCCCCGCCCTCTCTCCACTCGTGGCCCCGCCCTCTCTCCACTCGTGAGACTGCCCTGGGAAGGCCAGAGCCGACAGGTCCATGCGACCGACAGGTCCGTGCGACAGGTCCGTGACCGTGCTCACCAGCCCAGAGCTAAAGCAGCCGAGAAGGGAGAGGCAGGTTTCACTGAGCGCCCACTGCAGGTGAGGTGCTTTCCACTGTCCTCAGGCCTTGTCCCCACTGGAGCGAGCCCAGCCACCGGCCCTCACGATTTTCCTTTGCCTTTTCTCCACTCGTCGAGATAGAATGCAGGTACCATACACTTCACCGTTGAAAAGTACACGGCAGTTCACAAGGTTGTGTGGCCATCACCATTCGGATCCCAGAACAGCTTCGTCACCCCAAAAAGAAACCCCGTTACCTGTCAGCAGCCGTCCTCCCCTCCCCACGTCCTTGCGGTTTTATTACAGTTCTGTATGTTTGCTCCACTGCAAGTGACAGCGAGCACGCGCTCTGGCCGACCGGCACGTTAGTTTACGGAGAGGTGGTGTGCCCCTGAGGAGCTGAGAACAGAGGGGAAGCCGTGTGCCCGGGCGTGCGAGCAGCACGGAGCTGGGCTCCCCAGAGCTGGTGCTTGGACCTCGTTCTTCAGAACGTGCAGAGGGTACAACAGACCTGACACGTTTAAGCAACAGCCCCACCCCAGTGACAACAGCTAGTAGCTCTTTAGTGTTCCCATGTCTTTCTGTGCACAGGTGGTCTCTTCAGTTGACCTGTGGCCATGCTATATGTAGAAATGTTTTCCCTTAACATTCACATCACATCACAACTCAAAACGCCCTGTGATGGGGCAGCCTTCCACAGCAGCCTCGTGTCCTTGCCCAAGCCCGGTCAGATTTAAAGTGGCTTTAATTTTCCTCCAGTGATAAATGTATAAGCTCTTTAAATGTGTAACATTTGTTCTTATTCAGGTTGATTCCTAACAGCGGGTCTGAGAAATGGCGTACGGGCCAGACATTGACTGTGTCACGGTTCTCGACTCATGTTGAAACCCCAGGGAGCAACCTCCCCGCTGTGCTCTGTCATCCCTACCCACCAGCGCTGCAGAGCACCAGGCCAGGGGGGGGGGGGTCCCGGCCCCCCACATCTCAAACACAACATTCTTTCCTGTCTGCGAAGGGCGTCTGGGTGGCCAGAGCAGGGATAGGGCAGGCCCCCGGGAGGCCCCCGTGCAGTCGTGCCTGCATTTATTCAGCAGATGTTCCCTGGGTACAGGAGCCACAGATCATGACCACTGTGTGCTTGGGCAACACGCGTGTTAGCGTTTTCTTGGGGCACTCGTGCCTTTAGTGCAGAACTGCCGAGACTTGGCATCGAATGCTTGGGGTACTTGTTCCCTGGAAGCAGACACTCCGTCTAACCCTCCTCCCCAGACCGGCTAGTCTCCACCTCTGCAGGCAGCGAGTGAGCGAGCACCGTGAGCAAGGAGAGAGGGAGGCCGTGGGACCTGGGAAGCCGGTTCTGCAGGCCCCAGCAGGCCGTGTTCGCAGGAATCGTCACTAACCGGGGAATGTCCTGCAGAGGAGGGGCTGGTTGTCTGAGCCAGCCCCCAGGTTTGCAGGAGGCAGTGTTCACTGAGCGCCTGAGATGTGCCAGCATCTCGCTGGGCCTTGGAAATGTAGCTGGCATTGAGGAACACCATCTCTGACCCCAGGAGCCTCAGGGCTCTGTGACCTCTGGGTAAGGGTCTCCCTTCCAGGCTAGCAAAGCAGGCTGCTTGGATAGTTTTTATTGCACGAGAAAATATTGTGTACATTTAAAGTAGTACCTATCTCTCATACTCCTGTTGCAGAGCTACAGGGAAAAGTATACAAAATGAGACTCCCCTGTACCCCCCTGCAGAGATGCACCACCTTCTGGGATCATTCCCGCGGCCTGAGGGTAAAGAGGAAAGACCCGTTTTATAAGAGGGGAAACTGGCATTAAGGTACCCAGAGCTCCTGGGCGGGGGCGCCCATTTGAAGAGGAAATGCTGTGGTGGTTCCCCGAAGACCAAGGTCAGGGCAGCTGAGAGGGGGTGGGCCAGTGTGTGGCTGGGCCAGTGTGTGGCTGGGCCCGTTTGAGAAGGCGCTCAGACTGCAGCCTTTGGGGTGGGGGCTGCAAGTTCTGTCCCACCTCAGCTCTGGGGGGTTTCTCTAGGAGGTTCTTCAGAAAGGGAGTTTGGGCTGTGGCTGCCCCACGGCACGGGGAGGGGTGCTGGTTGGGCCATGCTGTGTGAAGGGTGGTGCCCCATCTCCAGTCCTGCAAACACCGCCTCTCACCCAAGGGCCTCGCTTGGCCAGGGTACCTTGATTCTGGCGCGTGGCGTTGTTGTCAGCATGACGCTGACTTGGTTAGGAACCAGCAGCTGTCTGCACAGAACACTGCCTTTCCTGGGGCAGCATCAGTGACACTGACCAGACAGCTCCCTGTTCAGTGCGGGATTGTAGAGGTCTTGGCTCAAAGGGATGGATGGATGCTCCATGTCTGTGTGGCACACAGAAGGGGCTTGTGTGCATGTGTGTCATTTGATCATACATACATTTTATATATATATTACACATAATCTAATGAGCACTTACTATGTGCAGTGCTAGATGCTCTCGGGGACCCAAAATAATATGAGTGGCAGCCCCTGCCCTGACCTCTGGGTGGGCAGCCTCTTGGGTTTGCAGTTAAGCAGGGTGCCGTGCTAATCAGGACCCCTCCACTGGCCCCCACCCATGGCATCCCCTTCCCTGCACCAGTGGTATCCCTAACACCTGGGCAGGACGTGCGCCTTGGCCCGTGACCGGCGGAAAGGTAGGAGGAAGACGTTGAGAGAGAGCTCCTGCCTCACGCTGGGCTGAGACGGGAAGACCAGGTTCAGGTGCTGCCTGCTACCGGCCGCTTATCAGGCTGCTCAGCGCCCTGGGCCTCCATGGCCTTGTCCCAAACACGGGCCGGCCTCCGGGCCTCGGCTCTGCAGGGCACGCTCGCGGCATACCAGGCATGTAAGTGGACCCGCGCGGGTCACACGTGTTCAGGGGTCATCCGTACTCCTCTATGGTGAAATTGAACATTTTTAAAACTCCTGATACACTTTACCCAACTGCCACGCCGACCAGCAAAGCTGACGGAAAGGCTCTGGTCTTTGATGAGCACGTGGATGGGGCCAGGCATTCAGCTAAGTGCTTGTTGGGGATTATCTCGTTCAATCCTCCAAACATCTTCTCCAGTAGATCCTGATTTCATCATCCCACATCCGAAAACTAAAAAACCCAGGGCCTAAGGTCACACAGCCAGGATTAACCCTTCCTGCCCTGCCCCAGGACTCTTGACCCTGCTGCACGCAGAGTAGGAGGAGCCTGAGAGGCACAGGCTCTGTGTGGAGGACACAGCGGATAGCACAGGAAACCGAAGGTCCTGAGGCCGGAGCAGGGCACTCCTGGGGAAGTGGGGGCCCCACCTAGCCACAGAATCGCCCGATTTTGTGACTGAGAGGGTGGTGAGACACTGTTACCTCCTCTACGAAGGAGCATCCTCAGCTCCAAGAAGCTATTTTTAGGGTTTGGGACGATGGGCAGTGACAGAGATAATCCATTTCGGTCTTGGAACGGGTCCACTCTTCCTCCAGGGAAGAGCCAGCCTGCTGCCTCCTGGCAGCTCGTCCTCACGGCCCCGAAGCAGCACCTCAGGCACCCCGAAACTTGGCCCAGGGTGAGGATGGAGCTCAGATAGTCCTCTCCGCCCCCCCCCCCCAGAATGCCAGGGCGGCGTTTGGGGTCCGTGGGGCCAGAAGCAGCAAATGCTGTGGTCTCCAGCTGCTTCTGCTGCTCTGACAAAGGCCCCCCCCCCCGGAAGCTCGGAGGGGTGGCCACGGGCCTGGAGTGCAGCGCCCTCCTTCTGGGCCACTGGAGGGACCTCCAGGGCTTTTGTCCGGGCCTGAGCCAGGGGCGGAATTATTGTAGTTTAAGAACTGAGGTGGGCCTTTGGTTCTGGGGAGCACGTTTGCTCTGGCAGTACTGGGGCTGAGAAACCTCTTCTCTGACACCTCGGGTAATGGGTCAAGAGACTAGACACAGCTGCCTGAGACCCCGCACCTTTTAAGACATTTTCTCCTGCTCTCCCTCCCAAACCGGTTCCCTTTCCGGGAAGCTGCCTGCCTCTCCGGCGAGCCTGGCCAAGGATTGGTCCTCTCGGCCAGCAGGGCCAATGGGCTTGCTAGGCTGTGGTCGCCATGACGACCAGAGCAGGGCAGGTAGGAGCCTGGTGGGGCCTCACTCAGTGACCCCTCCTTGGAAGCCGACTTGCCTGAGGGCAGCGCGACCTTCGCTGGGGCATCATCATCATCATCATCATCACCACCAGTGTCTGGGCCCCTCTTCTTAGCCCCTGCCCTTCCTGGGGACCTGGCCCTTCTTCCCAGTTATGAGGTATCAGATCTGGGTTTGAATCCTGGTGCTGTTCTTCCCTGATGGGAAGGTCTGATGTCTGCAGCGGGGATAATGGTCCCTTTGGGGTGGGTTTGAGCAGGTGCCTGTGATGCGTGGAGAGTCCTGTGGGCAGCCTGTGCTCAGCTCTGGCTGCGTGTTCGTGCAGACACGTGTGCACCCACATCCCGTGTGAAGGCTCCTCGGGGGGGGTGGGGGGGGCTCTGCAGAACGGGATGAAAGCGTTGCTCCGAACATAGGGAATCCAGGTCTTCATGAGCTAGTCAGGGAGACTCGGCAGTTGCTGTCGCTCATCCTCACCCACGCTGCCCCTGCCAGTGCCAACCTCCAGGACTCCGGGCTCTCGGCAGGGACTTGGATGGCAGTCACTGCCCACCTGACAGTGACATCCTCAGGAGCCCTCCTGGAGCTGGGTGTTCTTCCAGAGATGCCAACAGGCAGGTCTGATGGAACACAGGGCCCCAGCCTGTGTTCTCCTGGTCTCCACGCCACCCCTAGCCTCCTGGGAGGTTCCTGGGAACCCCGCTTGAAAACCACGGGACCCATTCCACTGGTGTGAGGCGGTAATGGCAGCACCTGCTACCCAGAGGGTAGTGAGGACCAAAAAGAACAAAATCATTACTGACTGCTGGGTACTCATCATTTCACAGTTGAGGAAACTGAGGCCCAACACAGGTAAACTACGTGTCCCCGTAGTTCCCACCCTCCGGAGCCGCCTGACACATCCGAAGTCCTCTGAGGGCCTTCCTGGCTCGACCCTCCCACAACAGAACCTCAGGCTGAGCCCCTCCTCCTCGGACAGATGAGGACACTCGGGCCCAGAGGGTGGGGCTGGCCCCACGTGTTAGTCACCTCTGTGGCCTGCTCTGCCCTGGGGACCTGGGGCCCACAGTCACAGGCCTGCCCTCTGTGTCCCCTCCAGAGCTGCCGTCCTCGGAGCACCTGAGCGTGGCAGATGCCACCTGGCTGGCCCTCAATGTCGTGTCAGGTGGTGGCAGCTTTTCTAGCTCCCAGCCCATTGGGGTGACCAAAATCGCCAAGTCAGTCATCGCGCCGCTGGCCGACCAGAACATCTCCGTGTTCATGCTGTCCACCTACCAGACGGACTTCATCCTGGTAACCGGTTCCCCGCCCCAGCGCCTTGGGCCACAAGGGACCCCTGCAGACCCCTTCTCTGATCAGCTCCAGGAGAGGTTGGGGACCTCAGGGCCCTCAGTCAAGTGTTAGCATGGCTCAGGCTGGGCTCTAGGTCTCTGCCCCCCCACACACCATCTGCCTTTGGCATGAGCCATGCTTGGTTTGACCTGGAGACCAGGAAGTGAGGGTTTAGGAGCACATGTGGGTGGGGTACCCTCCCAGCTTGGCATCTGTGTCGGTCATGGGGCCAGCAGCAGCTCCTGGCCACCATGTCATTCATTCTCTTCTCCCGTGGGGCATGGCCAACCTCAAGAGCGTGGGCCTGGGGAGGGGCAGGGACAGATCTGGGCACAGCATTCAAGAGGGTGGGAAACAGACTTGCACTTCCTGGCCCTCAGTGTGGTGTCTTCCCTCTGCACAATCCCGGCCGCCCCTGGTTCTGGGGCAGAATCTCAGAGTGAAGGGTCACTGCCCCCAGGCCCACTCCATCTAGGGACCACAGGATACTCAAGCCCTCGATTCTGCATCCCAGGTACGTGAGCGGGACCTGCCCTTTGTCACCCACACCTTGTCGTCAGAGTTCACCATTCTGCGGGTCGTCAATGGTGAGACGGTGGCAGCTGAGAACCTTGGCATCACCAATGGTTTCGTGAAGCCCAAGATGGGTGAGTGCGGGGTCTGTTCAGGGAGACCTCGAGAAGGTGCCAGGTCCTTGCGATGAGCCTGTCAGAGAAAGACACGCACCATATGATTTCACTTATATGCCGGCTCTCATGAACAAGGTGCACTGATGAACAAAATGGAAGTGAACTCGCGGATACAGAGGACAGACTGACAGCTGTCAGAGGGGAGGGTGCTGGGCTGGGAGAAATAGGTGAAGGGATTAAGCAAAGAAAAACACCTCGTAGACACAGACAGCAGTATGGTGATTACCAGAGGGAGAGGGGGTGAGGGCAGGGGCAAGAGGGCAAGAGGGCAAAGGTGGCAAAAGGTGGCAGGAGGAGACATCTTCAGGTGGTGAACGCACAGTGCAGCACACGGGTGGTTGTCATAGTCGTACTCCTGAAACCTGTAGTTTTATTAACCAGGGTCAATAACATCAATCTTTTAAAAAAGGGCCCAGAACAGCCCATTTTCAGAGCATTCGTTGAATGCCAGGCATAACCCAGTTCTGCAGCCCTGGTCAGACCTGTTCCAAGGCCTAGTAAGGGCGGTGGGTGCAGAAACAGCAGCCATGGCCAGAGGCCGCTCCTCTGGCCCACGGCGTCAGGGCGGAGCTCCCGGGGGCAGTGACTCTGCACTGAGGCATGGGCCCAGGAAGGAGCTAAGCCAGGGGGGAAGGTTGGGAAGGGCAGATGGTACAGCATGTGCAAAGGCCTGGGGCCTGGGGTGAGCCTGGAGTCTCAGGAGCTGTAGGTGGTGGCAGAGGCTAAAGAAATGAGAGGGGCCTCAGCACCCCTTGTCTTCGCCCTCTCAGTCCAGAGGCCCGTCATCCACCCACTGTCCAGCCCAAGCAACAGCTTCTGTGTCACCAGCCTGGACCCCGACACGCTGCCTGCTGTTGCCACACTCCTCATGGATGTCATGTTCTACTCCAACGGGTAGGGCCTTGGGTGTGAGGCCGCAGGGGGGCTGAGAGGGGACATGGCTCTGCCAAGGAGCCCCAGTCTTGGGGTCGGGGAGACAGACCACCGGGGCGCTGGTGGGAAGGGGAGGCACAGACCCGCCCCGGGCCTGGTGGGAAGGGGGAGACACAGACCCACCCCGGATGCTGGTGGAAAAGGAGGAGACAGACTACTCTGGGCGCTGGTGGGAAGGGGAGGCACAGACCCACCCCGGGCGCTGGTGGGAAGGGGAGGCACAGACCTCTCCAGCACTGTGAAGTGCAATGCTTACATCCGTGAATGCCATGGAATCCCGTGCATGTCACAGATGAGACCCGGGGGACACTGGCTCAGGGTTACCTGGCAGGGCAGGGCTGGGACCTGGCCCTGCTCTCCCAGGCTCTTCCTGGCACCTCATGCTAAGGCTAGCGAGCAGGAAAAGAGAGCCAGGTGGGGGTCAAGGTGCCATGGCAGCTGCACCCCTCACCAGCACCCCCACCCCCAGCGTGAAGGACCCAATGGGCGCCAGTGACGACTGTGGCCATATCCGCTTCTTCTCCTTCTCCCTCATTGAGGGCTACATCTCCCTGGTGATGGACGTGCAGACCCAGCAGAGGTGAGCCGGGCGCAGGGTGGAGGGACCCAGGGCGGGCTGGCCTGCGAGGCGTCCCTGCAGGTCCTCACCACAGCTCTTCATTGCGGGAGGGTGGCCCCATCTCAGACGACTGGCAGCCCAGAGATGGAGGCCGGTCATTCGAGTGCCGTTGCCCCCAGCCCCAGCCTTGCCTTCCTGCCCCGCCCCCAGGCGAGGAGGGTGCAGAGGGGTGGAGGGCTCTGCAGGGGTCCTCGGGCCGACCTGTAGCAGGTGGAGCCCTGGCGGGGAAGGTGCACAGCTAACGTGAGTCACTGGGGTTTTTCTCTCCCTCCCTCTAAGGTTCCCTAGTAACTTGTTGTTCACAAGCGCATCTGGAGAGCTCTGGAAGATGGTGCGGATCGGAGGACAGCCCCTGGGATTTGGTGAGCCCGCGGGGTTGAGCGGCGGGGTGGGCGCTGACAGGGCTGGGCACGCACGGCCCGGAGTCAGCCGGCGGTGCAGATGGGGGGCTGGGGCGCTGAGGCCCTGACGGGTGAGTGAGGGTGCAGCCTCGGCGCCCACGCCCCGCTCCTGCTTCTCCCTCCGGAGGAGCGGCCCTGCTGGCTGTCGGAGCACGGGACCTGACGAGACCCGACAGGGAAATGCAGCCCCTCCTCAGGCTGCCGCTCCAGATGGCGTGGCGCAGTTTGTAGCGTTCCCTCCCCTAGACACAGGGATTGTCCGAACATCTCTGTGGGGCTCGGACGCCCAGCCGCTCTGCTCCCTGCCCTGGGCAGGCGCCTCCCCCTGTAGACCCGCAGTGACTGGCCCCACGGAGAAAACCGCAGTGATTCCCTCGGACTCAGCCTAGCGCCAGTTTCCACGATTCTCCACAGTGTCTTTGGCCGTTTTCTCCATAAACATTTTCCGAGGGGCCCCGGCCTCAGACCCCTGGGCTCGAAGGGCCGCGCACGCACCCCCCGCTGCAGCCCCCCGAGCAGCTGCAGAGCCCCTGCGAGTGGAGCTCCGTCTTGACTAGAAATGGTTTCCAAGGGCCAGACTCAGACCCAAGAGCTTGGACCTAGAGCGGCTCGTGGTAAATCACAGAGGTTGTTTCTAAGGAGCGCCCTCGGCAGGCCCCTGTGGGATCAGTGAACCCTGATTTCATAGACGGGGTGCAGAATGTTCCCGATAACACTCAGACTCCTCTGGGGGCCGTCACGTTGGCTCTGAGGACTTTGCCCCTGGGACAGGACCCGGAGGTGGCAGGGCATTCGGACCTGGGAGCGAGGGGTCAGTGAGGGAGCCTCCACCTCTCTCCTGAGTTCGCAGGTGGACGGTGACCTGCAGGGCTGGGCAGTGCCCCCTAACTGTGCTCACTTCAAGGCCAAAGCCAGAGCCGTCCAGCAGGCCGGACATGCACTGATCTCACGTGCTCGGAAGTGTCCAGTGGGTCTGACCCGGGCCCAGCCTCCTGCACAAACCCAGCATCCCTCCTGCCCACGCCCGGCCCGGTGCGGGGCTGTGGGGTTGTGATGTCGCAGCCTGGAGGAGCTCACCAGAGACGGAGGCGGGAAGTGTGACCTCAGCTGCTGCTTACCTCTGAGCCTCAGTTTCCTTATCTGCAAAACAAGGGTGCAGATGGGCGCCCTCAGGGCGGCTCTGACACCGTGTCAGGTGTCAGTCGCTCCGGGTGCTCGGTGAGCAGCAGGTGCGGACACTGTCACCCGGAGGGACCAGGGGGCTCAGAGAAGGTTCAGGAAGGGAAGGCTTCTGGGCGGAGGTGGCCCTGGAGCTGATGGGTGGACAGTCACTGGGCAGAGGAGGTTGACTGGCCTCTCTCCATCTCACCGGGACAGCTGGGGGCGGGAGAAGAAACTTGCCAGGTCACCCCAGGTGGAGGGGAGGGTCCTGACACCAGACCAAGGGGTGGAGGGACCAGCAGGGTTTCGGCAGGTGAGGGGAGCAGCCAGGTATCTGCTTATCCTTTTAGCCCTGGCTCTGCTTCTGAGTTTACCGAAGTAACTCGGGATATACTATTACCAAAAGTCCGGGTGAAGGACAAGCGAAGGTGGGGTGTGGATGAAACCAGCCGTGTCCTTGGCAAGCGACTGCTCGTTGCTGGGCCTCGCGGAGAGCGGCGGGCAGAGGAGGGCCAAGGCCAGTGCGAGCTGAGCAGGCAGCGGCCGAGGCTGCCTCCCCGGGACGGGAGGGCTTCAGAGCCATGCTGACGGCTGTACAGGGTCCCGCAGGAGCAGGACTCGGCATCAGAAGGGCTCTGGACCGTGGTTCACACCCCAGCATGGGCCCCAACAGCTCGGCCGTAGTGTCACCCCCGCTGTGCCGTGTGGCTTCCTTCTCCACTATGTCATTTTATAGAACGCTAGTCACCAGCCTTCTAAATTGCTGTCCCACATGGGATTTGAAAATACATCCTTCTAGACCCAATCTCCTCCCCTCCTTTTTATAGGAATAGTTGTGTCTGTAGCTGAAGGTGTCTCAGGACCAGCCAGTCTCCACCACGTAGCCACACAGATGTCCCCAGGAGTGTGGGCACGAGGCCTGGGGGTCCAGCCTGGAGCCCAGCAGACCAAGGGGAAAGCAGGAACTTGAGAGACCCACAGGGTCACTTCATGGGTCCCTGGTTGGGCCAACAAGCAGGACCGGGGCCAGGGAACGGAGGGTCGGATCAGTTACTGAGTGTGGTGACGATGGAGGTGGGGCCCAGGTTAATCCCCAGGCTTCAGCCTCAGAATCCCATGGGAGCTGGTGACCAGATCTGGACTCTCCACCCCACCCCCAGCTGACAGGGACAGTGTTGGGGAAAGGCATCATCACCAAAATCAGTCGCTGTTAGGAAAACATATGGGATTGTGTTGGAGAAGAATGGTCCTCAAATCCTGGAAGTCTTCTTGTAGGAGGAAGCCTTGAACGGCGCCTTTAAATCAGGGAAGAAGCTACGGGTGAGGATAAGACCAGCCCCAGGCAACCCCAGGGTTGCCTTATCAGATGAGGTTTTGGGGAGACCAGAAAGCACCACAGACCCCTGCTTCAGACGCTGGAGGGAACAGGAAATCCCGCTCCAGCCCAGCCAACACCTGGCACTGCCGTTAGGGTGGACAGGCCGGGGCCGTCCCCCACTGGGGCTCCGCCAAGGAAACGAGGCTCAGAGAGGAAGTGACTTGGCCACAATCATCTGGCTAGAAAAAGTGACAGGAGAGGGCTGACCCCACTCCGCCTCCAGCTCCGCCTTGGAGAACGCGAAAGGTCGCAGGGGATGAACTGGGGCTACGGAGCATGGAGACAGGCAGGGGTGACCAAAGTTAGGACTGAATGGAGAGCTCGTTGCTGGCTGAGGAATCAGAAGGCTCTGGAGGGAGGAGCCTTTGCACTAGGCCTTGGGCGGGGGGTGGGAACTGCCTGGAAGAAGGTGGGCACGGGACAGGCGCTGCTGGCAGGGGGAGCGGCCGGTGCTGGTGCCACTCAGGCTGAGCGCAGTCCCCACCTCTGTCCCCAGATGAGTGTGGCATTGTGGCCCAGATCTCCGAGCCCTTGGCTGCTGCAGACATCCCTGCCTACTACATCAGTACTTTCAAGTTCGACCACGCACTGGTGAGTGTCCGGCGCTGGCCCCGGGGCAGGGGCGCTGTTCCGGAGCTCACGTGCTGCCCCGCCCTTTGCAGGTACCAGAAGAAAACATCAACGGCGTCATCAGCGCCCTGAAAGTCAGCCACGGGGAGAAGCATTAGAAGGGCCTCTGGCTCCTCCCGTCCGGCCCAGCCCCTGCCGGAAGATTCTTGCAGTATTTCTCAACAAACTGGAAAACCGGCCCAGGTCCCTCAAAGGAGGGTCTTCAGAGACACCCCCAATTGCTGACTCTGCCAGGCCTGGAGCCCAAGCCAGGACCTCCCCATGTCCTCCTGCCTTGTCAGCGCCCCCATACCCTCCAGAGAACACGCCCCAGCTCTTCCCCAACCCTCACTCCAGGAATTGATGCCTGAGGCCCAGGGAGCTGATGAGCTGACCCACCTCCTCACCCGGCCTCACCCACAGCCAGGGGCAGACGCCAACGTTGTAAGCTGGCACCTCCTACAAGACACTGGGGTACCAATTCGCATGTTATCTTGGGGGGCAGGCCGAGGGGGACTTGAGTTCATGGAGGCTGGGAAGGCCTCCGCGAGGGCAGGAAGCTGGATCCTGTGGTTGCTGGTCTCTGGTTCCATCAGCTCAGGGCTGGTTCCCGGAGTGGAGGCCGGTGGGCGACCCTCAGGGTTTGTGCTAGTGAGGGTCCCGCAGAGCTCGGGCGGGGCCCCGAGCTGGGGAAGACCCGAGCCACCCAGAACCTCATCTGCCAACCACAGGGCCTGTGTCTCCCAGCTCCCACAAGCCTGCCAAGGGGGCCTGCTCGGACCCTCCCCACCACAGGCACGCACTCCTGGGAGGTGGTTCCCCAGAGACCCACCAGCCTCAGTCATGAGCTCCTGTCGCCTCTGCTTCCCTGGACCCCCTCAGGCAGGCCGAGCCACAATTTTCCCCAAGTGGGGGTACTCCCAGCATCCTGGGCCTGGGGTTTCTTAGGTCACCCCCACCTCCCCAACAGTTGACTAGACCAGCACAGGGCTCCCGTGTCATCCTGTCCCCTCCCTTGCCCACTTTGGGGGACATGGAAGGCCTCTGCCCCCCAACTCACCTGCCTGCCCACCCCTCCGTGCGGGGCCTGTGGCATCATGAGTACTTGATCTGGGAGGCAGCTTATCTGAGCCTTAATAGAGAAAACTGTACTTCACTTTAGTTTCTTATTTAACGTATCTGTGCCCAGGCTGTGGTTGGCAGCCATTTCCAGAGAGGCCTGCGGGTTCTGTCGGGTCCCAGAGGCTCAGCGTCACTCGGCTGCTGCCCTGTGGCTCCAGGGCAGGCACGAGAACCGGGAGCCTTGGCCCTCTCTGGAGCAGGACACTGGGAACAGAGGTCATACTGGACGGGCCCCAGGGCGCATCGCACAGGGCCACCCAGCCGGGCCTCGTGACAGGTACCCAGGCAGCTGTGGTTCTGAGTGTCGGGACCTGAGGGCCACAGGCCACAGGCAGGTGGACAGCCAGGTGGCAAGCCAGCTGAGGCAGGCTGGTCCCCTGGAGGCTGCCCAGCAGAATGGGGTGTGCCCCCGGGCCGCCTCTCCAGCTGGGGGAGCTTCCTGAGTGCATGGGGCCCTTCCTGGGGCCCCTCCTCGGGCATCAGCTGACCTGTGTTGTCCCTGAGAAGCTTGGGGGGGTGTCCTCGGCCTGGTGTGAGCCCCACCCCCTTCTCGAGTTGCGTGGGGCCCTAGGAGCCCCAGACACGGTAGCTGTGGGTCTCAGGGCCCACGCACTGACTAGGAACCCACCATTTTTTTTATAAGTTAATTCATTTTGCACAAAACTCCGTAACAACCAAAACGTGTAAATGATTTGCTGGTTCCAAAATAGGGGTGGCCACGTGGCCACGGCAGCACTTGAAGCCGATTCCCCTTTCTGTCCTTGGGAGGCCTTGGCTTCTGTGGCGCCTCTCCGGGCCCCTCCCCGTGGGCCCCTCCCCCTGTCACTTGGCCTTTCCTCCCCCCCAGCAGATGTGTAGGCCCCGCGACCCCAGAACGCGTGCTCCCCAGGCCCCTAGGGCGTATATTGTACACACGTATAAATACCTGTGTTTTATGTTGATATAGATATATACTGTAAATAGCATATATACTTGAGCAATATATATGTTAATATATACTGTGTGGGCACGCACACGCGTGTGTGTGCGGTACGTGGACGCAGACCCCACTGTGTGTGCGTGTGTGTGGGCGTGGGGCCTCCGCCCGCCGTGTCTGCCGTGCACACAGGCACGTTTGAGCCACCGTGTATTTTTAATTCAAGTATACAGGCAATATGACCTTGAGAGAAGCCGGCCGCTGCCTCAGTCCTGACTTGAAAGAAAAACAAAACCAGCAGCCCAGGCGCTGAGCCCCAGGTGGGGGTGTCGAGGGTTCTCCCCACTCTCCGCAGTCTCCCCTGAAAGCTGGGTTCAGCCCCTTCTCATCTCCATGGTCACCCACACCCTGTGTTTGGAAGATGGCAGAGCAGAGAGGAGTCGGAGCCTCTCGACCAGAGCACCCTCTCCCAGGTCCCCCGGCCTGAAGCCCAGGCCCGCTGAGTGGTCACCCCGAGTCTCCTTCCAGGCCCGCTCCCCTCGCGTGGCGGTTTGTGCTGATGGCTCACCTGGTTTTCAGCTGCAGGCCCAGAAACCTCAGGTTCTGTTCTCAGGTCTCCCCTGGGGGCCGGCCCTGTCCGCCTGGGCAGAGGACCTGTGTGCCCTTGACGTGGTGTCCAGGGAGGGGTGGGGCAGCTGCCAGCGGGAACCCCCTTTCTCAGCCCCGCCCTGTCCTCTGTGTGTGCCTGTGATGAGTCGGCTGCCGTTTGGTCTCCACAGCATCGGTGGGGACAGTGCTTTTCCCCTTGGCCAGCTGCTCACCGCCCACCCCGTGCCCGCCATCTGCAGGTTTGCTGGGCGTGGGGTCTCCAGACCTGCCCGCGAGGACGTCTTGGCTCTGGCTGGCGGGCACGCAGCCGGGGCGGGAAGTGGGCTCTTGGGCACACTGCCCGCGGTGAGCAGGCCTCTGTCTTTGCTCCAGTACCACTCCCTGGAATGAAGCTTCAACGGTCTAAATGCCACCTCGCCCCGGCCCACCCCACCCCACACACTACAGAATGGGGAGAGCTCGAGGAGGGAAGGGGGGGAGGGTGCCACAGCCGCCCCTCTCCTCCGTCCCCACCTGAGAAGCCTGCCTCCGCTCCATCCTCAGCCTGGGCTCCCCTGGCTCCCAGGAAACCACTGCCCCCTTGGCCCGTCCGACCCAGCCAAGATGGGCCGTGTCAGCCCCTCCCCGTCTCCAGAGCCCTGCAGGCCTGCCCACACCACTGCCCTCAGCCCAGGGCGACACCCAAGCTGGAGAGGCTGCCGACCTCTCCGCCCCGGGATTCAGGGGGTCAGGAGCCCCCAGCACCAGCATTCTCCACCTCCAGGCCACAGGCCACCGGACCTGCCCTGGCTGCCCAGCGACAGCATGGCCAGGGACCAGTGCCGTCCCCAGAAGATGTGTGGTCTGATGGGGCTTGTCCCCTCTGAGGTGACAGTGCCATGGAAGTCAGGGCTGGGAAGGGCCAGACCCGTTCAAGCCAAGAGTACCATGTGCTTGATAATCACAGATAAACCTGCCTGCCCCCCACTGGCCGCGTGTCCCGGGCAGACCTTCCAGGGCCTCTGGGTCTGGATGTGGGGGCAACTAGGGCCCTTCCCAACCCCAGCTCCGAGGGGACCCCGGGCGTCCCCTGCTGACAGCAGGCGCTCTGGCCCTGCCACGCAGGCGATGCCCCTTCGGGGTGAGCACTGGGTGGCTCCCGCTGCTGCCCCGCTCGAGGGGAGCTTCGGGGAGGACAAGGCTCTGGCAGTGGGGAGACTTGGCTTCAGGCTTCGAGCTACTGTGCTGAGGAAGGGGGAGGCCTAGATCAGCAGGAGGGCCAGCCAAGGAGGGCAGGCTTGGGCAGCGTGGCTGTCGGCTGTCGTGAGGGGAGTTGAGCCTGGTCTAACTGGATCTCAGAGCTCATCCAAGGTTTTTGTTTTTGTTTCAAATTAGAGGCAGCCAAAGGACGGGTGGGCTGTGGCCTTCAGCTTGCTGTTCGTGAACTCCTTTCAGCCGGCTGTATTGGGAAGGTAGAGACGGAGCGGCTGGCTGAGGCGGCTGCTGTCCTTACGGCCCATGGCACCTGCGGGCAGCCTGGCGGAGGGAGTTGGTGGCTCTCGGGTGAAGGCGATGGGAGGCTGGGAGAGCCCGGAGCACAGGGCGGCCTCTGCCCTGGGAGTCGGGACACTGCTCTGCGTGGCCACGCGTGTCTGTACTGACCCACGATGTGTGGGAACGTGCTGTGCCACGCACATTCGTGTGTGACAGCACATGTGTGCGGTCCACGTCTGAGCTAAGGGACTGGCTCATTCAGTATTTTGAGGCCTTGGTAGCCTCAAACCCTTGGGCCCCGTGGGGGTGGGGGGGGCTGGCCCGGAAGGACTGGCCCGGCCCCTTGACTGCTAAAGCTGCTCTGTGGTTGGGCAGAAGTGTCCCTCAGGGACTGTCCACACGGCCAGCCTGCGAGGCAGGGCCTGCCGAGCCGACTCTCCAGGGCATGGGTCCGAGTCAGTATTCACAGGGAGCGGTGGGTGCCAGGCCTCGCCCACTGGCCTCCAGGACGAGTGTCCAGGCAAGTTGGAGACCAGGGGTCAGGGGCGCGGAAAGATGAAAAACAGGCCAAATTCAAGTCCCAAGACAGCTCAGTGTGTTTGCTGTCCACTGCCTCAGTTTACCTACTCCGAAAATGGTCCAGGAGAAGCGGAGCAGGGTTGGCTCCAGAACTGGGGTGGGGGCCACCTAACAAAGCCCCAAGCCCTCTTCTTACTCCGCCGAGGTCATTTCCGTTACCCTGAGATGGGTGAGTGGGAGTTGGAGGCACGGGGGGCTCGGGCCTCCGCCCGCCCAGGGCCACACTCGGGGTCCAGCCCCCACCTGGCATGCCCCAGGTCACCAGCAGTGGCTCCTGCGTCTGGCCCTGGCCCTGGGCGACGGAGAACTGGGAACCCTACACCCGGGCCCCTCACGCTTACTTTCTTTGTTGAAGAAACAAAACCCTCAAGATTCATGTACTGTATGACGGAGAGAGAAAAAGTACCTAATGTTCCCCAAAAAGACAGTATATTTTGTACTTTGTAAAGTGTTAATTAAAATGGAGAAAACGATGTTGGCTGACAGCTGTCTGACTTGTTCGGATGCAGGGCCACCGCTCATCCCCCACCCTGTTCTCCATATTGGGGGGGAGCATAGTCGGAGGGGCAGAAAAGCCTCCCGGCCCAACACCCAGGACCAGAGAGGAAACAGCCCCAGCACAGAGGGGTGTGTTCATTACCGGATGCTGCAGAATAAGTTGCCCCAAAACTTAACAGCTTGAAATAACTGTCCGTGTGCCCCGGTTTCTGTGGGGGGTGCGGGGGCGGTTGGGGCAGTGCTGGCTCGGAGCCCCTCACCAGGCTGCCACCATCTGCAGTCTTGGCCGGGACTGGAGGGGCCCCTTCCAGGGTGGGTCACTCAGCGCCTGCTGTTGGCAGGAGGCCTCGGCTCCTCTCCACGCAGGTCTCCCCGCAGGACTGCTCCAGGTCCTCACAGTGCGGTGCGGGCCTCCCTCAGAGCTCAAGATTCAAGGGCCAAGGTCAAAGCCAAAAATGTCCCCCCAGACTCAGACTCCATGCGCCAGCACCACCATACCCAGCTGACCTGACGCAGCAGGAGACCACACCAGAGTGAAAACCCAGGGCCAAGACCCCTGGGCCATCCTGGAGACGGGCTTCAACGCTGCCGGCCTCTGGCAGACAGGGCCTGCTGGTGGGGGGAGGGGCCACGTCCCCCACGACTGCCCTGCCCTCTGGCTCTTGCCCTCTCGGCAGGTGGGCACTGGGCTGCCCAGGTAAGAGGCCTGAGACCAGCAGGTCCTGGAACTTGGACACCCTTCACCTGCCCCTCTCCGATGTTCTCCGTGGGGGCAGGGGTGAGCAGGGCAGGCCGCGCCCACACACCCCGGCCGCGCACCTCCCCCTGCCCCGCAGGAGCAGGGCGCTGGAGACGGGAGTGAGGGGGGTGCTGGAGCTCTCACCGCCCCGAGCCCAGGACAATCCTGGCTGCTCTGAAGGCTAATGCCCCTCAGTCCTTCAGATACCTGCAGGTGCCATGACATCTATGGAGACTTTTTTTATTTCTGTTTCATATCTTTTACTCATTGATATGGTCACTTAATTTTTAATATGTTTTCATTGACTTTTTAGAGAGAGAAACATCAATGTGACAGAGAAGCATCAATCGGCTGCCTCCTGCACGCCCCTACTGGGGATGGAGCCCTGACCAGGAATCAAACTGGGACCTCTCGCCCTGGCCGGTTTGGCTCAGCGGTTAGAGTATCCGCCTGCGGTCCGGAGAGACCCGGGTTCGGTTCCCGCTAAGGGCATGTACCTCGGTTGCAGTTTGTCCCCGGCCCTGGTTGGTCGTGCGGGTGGCAGCCACTCGATGTGTCCCTTTCACATCGATGTTTCCCTCTCTCTCTCTCTTCCTCTCTCTCCCTCCCACTCTATCTGTGCAAAAAGTGGAAAAATGTCCTCGGGTGAGGATTAAAAAAATAAATAAAAAGAGAAAAAAAAAAAACTGGGACCTCTCAGTCCATGGGACGACAATCCACTGAGCCACACCGGCAGGCCGGGCCGTGGAGACTCTTGATTACCCTAATGCTTGCAAACCAGTTGCAAAGGTTTCCCAGCGCTCACTCACTCACTATCACCCAGGCAGTGCTGGGCCTTGTGCCAGGACTGGGTCCCAGATGAACCTGTGATGTCCAGACGGAGCTGCTCTAGGAGGCAGAGACAGCTGCTCCAGGGAGTGCAGTGCCAGGCTGGGCCACAAGGAGGTGCTGTGCCCTGGGACTGGGGAATGACCTCTGTGGCAGTAGGGGAAGACCAGGAAGCCAGGATCAGAGTTGAGCTTGATGAGGCAGGGGTTGGGGGTGGGAGAACCTAAGCAGAAGGAACAGCCAAGGCGCAGGGGCCCTGGAGGGCACTGTAGCTGGAACTGGGGGTAGGGGTGAGGAAATGGACAAGGCTGGTGGAGGGTGAGGCAGAAATGCAAGGCGGGTGCTCATGCTGGCCAGGAGCCTCGGGTTTTCTACAGGCCAGTGGGGAGCTGTTGAGGACATCTATGCAGGAGACCACTTAGCCTCTGGATGGTGGGTCTGGGTTATCAACTGTGGTGACAGAAAGAGGAAACCGGTGGTCTCGGTTCCCGGAGAGATGACTGGCTGGCTCGGGCCTTCCCGGTGCAGGCAGGTGGTGGGGCAGTTGTGGGTGTAGAGGACTGGCTGACATCCAGCCAATCCTCACAACTGAATGTGCCCCGCCCCCCACCAGAGCATTATTCCTGCTGGGAGCGGCTTTGGCTGCTGCTTGGCAGGGTTCCCACCCCAGAGCAATTGGAACCCCCGGGGGAGGGGGACCCATGCCAGGACTCCACCCGAAGGTCTGATTCCACCGGGTTTGGCTCAACATAGTTTTAAAAGCTCCTCTACTTGCTCTCGAAAGGTAACAAAAAACACAGGGCCACCGAAGGAAAGAGCATCACCTGTGGTCGCTTTGCCTCCTGGTTTTATTATGTGATGTTCAGCTGGGTGGGGCGGGGGCGTCAGGGTGGGAAAAGCTGGGAAAAACAAGCTCTCCAAAGGGAATGTGTGGGATGGGATCGTGGGGATGCTGGCACCCCAGAGACAACACATGCTCAAAAACCACTGGACTGTACACTTTAAAATGGTTTATGTATGCGACTTACATCTCACTGTTTGGAAAAGGGGACGCGCAGCGTGAAGGACCCCCAGGAAGAAATGCCATCTGACAGCTCGAAGTTCCCGGGGCACAGTGAAGGGCGCCCGGAGGAGGAGGGCGAGATGGCGAGAAGAACGACGGTTGTAGGGGAGCATCTCCTTTGAGGTGTTTTCTAAGAGTTCTACCCGAGCTGAACCAGCAGCAGCTCTGGCAGCCGGCAGCCAGACCCGCAGCCATCCCCACTCTGCAGAGCCAGGCACGAGGGGGTCCTGCTGTGGAGGGAGAGGTGTGGACAAGCAGGCAGGGCCTCGACCGAGCCGGTGGATACAGCCCACGTTGTATTCGGGAAAATACTCGGCGTCTTGGAACTCTGAATTACAGTGTGTTGTGCACTCCGTGATACAAGTATCAAGGTTAAAAACAGTTAATTTTAATTAACAGCCTCAACAATACCATTCCTAGGTATATACCCAAGAAAACGGACACTATTCACACACATGCTCATTTGGGAGTGTTCCAAAAATATAAAGCTGGGCCAATGTAAAACTTGTACATGAATGTGTTGGCATTGTTCACAATAGCCCAAAAGTGGAACCAACTGAAATGACGATCAACTGATGAATGAGTAACCAAAATGTGATACGTCGAAAATAAGGAAGGAAAGAACCTCCCCAGGTGATCCCACGGTGCAGCCAGGGCTGAGAAGCCCAGGGTTAAGGGCAGAACTCCACCTCCGTGGCTGCCGTGGCAGGTGGCCTCACTCAGAGGCTGGGCCAGAGGCAGCCGGCCCCCAGACGCACAAGCTGGAAGAGATGCATCCTTCTCACCCTCTCATCCCAGCACCTGGCAGGGCCTGGAGCATGTGGTGCTCAGGAGTGTGAACACATACCCCTTCAAGCCCCTGCTTCATCAATATTCTCCCGCAGCGGTAGAATCGCTTCGGCCACGAACCTGAGCCCGTTCAGTTTCCAGCTCCCAGGGTGGACTCCAGCGGGGCACTGTTCTGACGGGCATGGCACTTCAGCTGCCATTCTGCTGCGTCCTGACAGCAAGACGTTCCTGTGCTCCCCCACGGGCAGCCTCCCCACCACCACAGCCGACTCCTGGTGTGAGGATGACAAGTGTCTCAATTTACTTTTTTTTTTTTATCCTCACCCAAGGACATTTTTTTTGCACTTATCTTCAGATAGAGCGAGAGGGAGAGAGGGAGAGAAACATCGATGTGAGAGAGACCCATCGAGTGGCTGCCACGCACACGACCCCAACCAGGGCCGGGGACAAACTGCATCCGAGGTACGTGCCCTTAGCGGGAACCAAACCCGGGACTCTCTGGTCTGCGGGCCGACGCTTTAACAGCTGAGCCAAACCGGCTAGGACTGGCTTTACCCTTTTAAACATGACTGCTGAGCACGCACCTCAGTGTGGCCCCAGGTCTGAGAAGAGCACAGCTAGGACTCTAAACATTGTCTCCAGCTCAAGCTGAACCTCAGCTGCTGCTGCTCCATGTTCCGTGGCAAGATTTGTATGAAAGAAATGCTGGGATTGCTTCCTTTTTTAAAAAAGTTTTTATTATTTATTGATTCGAGAACGTCTATTTCTTGTTCCACTTATTTATGCATTCATTGGTTGCTTCCTTGATTAGGGCAGCTTGAGTCTGAGGGCAGCTGGGTAATGCACCTGAGAAAGGCAAGTGTGGGGTTCTGGGGGAGAGGCAAGCTCCTGGGGCCCCATCACAGGCGGGGCAGGTCCTCGAGTGAGGGCTGCCTCGTGGGGCCTGTGCCGGGTGCTGCCCTCAAGGCCTGAGAGGGTCTGCAGCTCCAGCAGGCAGCACGCTTAGACCAAGGCACTCATCCGTCCTGATGCAGCAACTGCGGGAATGGCCCTCAGAATGGTTTGAGCAGCTCCTGTTGCTGGTCAGGAGGCCAGGCCGTCAGGTTCTGGGGCCAGAGTGAAACGTGAGAACAGGGTGGATGTTCCCAAACGCGCGCCCGGGCTTTTACTGTGTGCGGGCGGTGTGGGCGCTCAGCCAGACCAGACCACGACCCGCCGTCCGAGTCAGCGCCATGTCGACAGCGAGGCTCTCGGCATCCATCTGGCTTGTCACTTGAACACAGTACGTGCACAAGAGTTTCCTGAATACATGAAAGTAGGGCCAACTATATTCAAAAAACAAGAATGGTCACGACAGAATTCTGAGTGTCAGGTGACGTGGCTGGGCGAGTGACATTTATTTGCTAAGAGGAGGTTTTGCATACCAGACGGGCATCCCCCAGTCCTACTTATGGGGTGGCAGCCTGCACACCTGGTGGGGGCTCGGGACAGAAGACGGGGACCCAGGCACCTGGGGAACTGTCCATGGAGGAACACTGGTGGCCACCCGGTAATGAGTCCCCACACCTCTCACGCAGCACCTTTCACTTGGGCTCCACACTGGCCTCGGCTACTGACTGCAAATACGTGAATGAACCTGAGTGTAAGAACAATCAGAGGACAAGTTGGAGTTGGCCCATGGTCATGTCATTTAGGGTGTCATTCACGTGCTCCCTAAAGTGAAAGGAGCCTGGAACTGCAAACTTTGACCTGACAGAGGAAAATGACAAACCACAGGAACCGAGCTGGTGGCACAGGCATCGTTGTGTTGAGCGCTGGGAGGGGCTGAGCATGGGGACAGCTACAGGAAGAGCCTGGTGGTGGCAGGTGCGCTCGGAAGACACTGAGTCTTAACTCAGATTCAGAGATGCCCCTTATACCCTGGCGACAGTGTCCACGTGGAGGCAGGTACTAGATCGGAATCTGGTGGGAAGCTTAGTGACCATTCCTATGTCAACAGAGGCCCCCCATCTCCATCCTCATCTGTCCCCAACCCCTGGGGAGCTCGCCCTCTGCATCACTATGTGCTTTAAGGCACGTATTCACTGAGGACTGATTAGTGTTCTTCACCCTGGTACGAGGCCCATCCAGTTCAGGAAAATGACAAATTGTTTTCCATTTTGTTTCAAGTTTATAGAAAAGCGTTGTTGTAGTAACACAGGAACTGGTCCACCACAAACAGTGGACCATGAGCCCAGATAAGGGGGCCTGGGGCCGCACCCCCAGACACCATGTGGCTGGTCCTTGCTGCCTCAGGTCACAGCAACCTGCCCGGTGACCTCGTCACATCACCCATCTCCTTCTGCTCTATTTTTCCATGGCCCACACAACTATCGAACACACTCTGCACTTTGCTTGTTTATTGTCCACATCGCCCCCTAAAATGTGAGTCTCGTGAGACGCACAAGAAGTTCTGCTGCCACGTGACCAGTGGGTGCAGCCCTGCACATCGGGGCCGTGAGCACTTGTCGAATGAGGGAAAGGAGGGGGCGCAGGCCGCTGGCGACTGAGCCGTTTGTGACGTATCACCAGCTACTTTTATACTTCATGATTTTCTTCCCATTGAACTGTGGGAGTACTGTTCAGAAGAGTTTCCAAGTAGCACTGTCTTCTACCGGCTTTTTCACTGGCTTGTAGTAGGCTTTTGATAAAGTTAATTTTTTGAAAGTTAGTTTTTGAAAGTTAATCTATATAAATGATCAGGTAAAAGAAAAAGGCCTCCTAAGTTCTTAAAAAGAAAATGACAGAAAATAGACTTTACTCCAAAAGAGGTTTTTAAAGTATTTCTTGTCAAGAATAAGACGAGTTAACATTACTAACAAATGTTTTTCACAATTTCTGGATCTTTCCTCCCCGAGGCTGGCACTCCAGCCAAGCTTTTGCGGGATGTTTGGAGCCCTGGGCCCACAAGAATCTGGCCCCGACCTGCTTCCTGTGGGGACTTCTCCACTTCCCAAGTCGGGCAATGAGAATGGTTCCACGGCTGGTGACAGCCGAGAGCCCGTGGGGGACGAGCTGGCGCCCACCGGTATTTCCAGGGAGAAGTACAAGCAAAGCATCTCGGCACGTGTCCCAGCAGCAAGCTGGCTGTGGACAGCTGACGGGAAATGGCTGGGTGGGAGAGGGACCCGAATGACCACCCCAGGCCCGGTCCCTCAGTCCAGTGGGCTCACCCAAATGCCTATCAACAGCTCTGCTGTGCTCCAAGGGGCTGTAAAAGCCCCCCTGAGCACTTCGTTCTGCAGGGCCTCCTTTCAAGATCAAACAAAATGCATGCTGTGAGAGCGAAGATTTCCTAAGACCAGTTTCTTGGGCCAGATGTGACACCAGAAGCCGTCAGTGTTTCCTGGAAAGAGCTGAGACATCCTAATTATCCTCACCCTGCCAGGGCCACACAGCTTCCTGCAGCTCAGCCTGGTAAAAGCAGCTGTTATGTGCTGAATTCGGCAGGTCTCATCAGGAGCAGGGACCATGTCCCAGGACTTCAGTGTGTACCTCCTAAGGGCTTTAGGAGGGTGTCACACTTCACGAAGGGCCCTGGTCCTCTCTGAGCCCCATCAGAACCCACTGGCTGCCTCTGCTAAGCTGTCCAAGTGGTTCTGAGGCCAGGGCTGGGCTAAGCGGGTCAGGCTGGAGAATCAGATGAATGACTTGGCCAGAGTCACCATGTGATCCACACCACACGCCACATCCAGGGGCTCCCCAGGCATCGTCACCTGAAAAACAAGACCCAGCACACGGTGAAGGGAAATGGCCACCTGGGAGGCAGACAGGCTTGGAGGTGGCCCCACTTGGGCCTGATCCACACTCTGCCTCTTGGTGGGAGACTTAGCCTCTCTGAGCCTTGGCTCCCTCCTCTGGAAATGGGGATACTTAGAGTCTCCGTGGAAACGGCCACCCCAACTCCCCACCTAGTCAACAGCAGGCATTACTGTCCACCCTTCCAAGAGGCCACCCTGGGCACAAGCACGAAGCCTGAGTGGACATCCCACAGAGGTCAGTCCCCTCTGAGCATGACCCCGCCAGAGGGCAACACCTGTTCTCAAGTCGGGTGCTCACTGGCCCTTCCTCGTGGTCACCGCCATGGCTCACAGAGCGGCTTGAGAAACCTTTCTCCTGCTCTCAGGCCCACTTTGGGAACACGTTCCCCCGGCCAGTGTCTTACCCACTCTGCCCACCAGCTCCAGCCCCACACGAGTCCTGTGCGCCCTCGAGGAGGGGTGTTTACTGGGTCTCAAAAGGTGCCAAAGGCCTGGCCAGCAGTCCAGCCGACACTGCCCATTCATCACAGGAAGGCCCAACTCTCAAGGTAACAGCAGAGAGTCCCCTGGGATACGGAAGCTCCGGCCTGTTTGCCTTTAAAATGACTCACTGTTCTACAGCCTGGCCTTGGAAATGGGTGTGCCCACGACTCAAGGACTTCCATACCCACATGGCCACACAGTGCTCCAGAAAAGGGGCACTTTTCTTTCTCTTATTTATTACTATTATTTTATTTTGAATAGGGAATGCATTCACACGCCCACAATATAAAATAACATTCAATGTAAAAGAATAAAAAGGCATTAAATACCTTTCACTACCACTGTCATCTCCTCATTCCCTATCTCCCCTCTGCTACGGAAAGTACTCTGACTGGCTCTCGTCCTTCCAGAGGTCCTTGGTGCAGGGAAGCAAACACCGTGCACGTTCTAAGACAGCACACCTGCACCACTTACCCCTCAGCCCTCAGCGGGACGCAATGCTGCTCTTCTGACCAGACCCAAACCTGCCTCCTGCCCTGTTGGCGGCACTCAGCCAGGCAGTGTGACAGCTGGAAAGGGATGTGTAACAGCCTGTGGAGCTCACTGAGCTTGAGAGGAAAGACCTAGTCCAGACGGCCTGGCCTAAAAGCCCAGAGGCAGCCACGCTGACCCCAGTGTGGTTCCTTGGTGGCGTGGGGAGACAAGTCCATTAAGGACTCCTGGCCACGAACAAATGGACACTGGTAACCAAGTTGTGCTTCCCACCCTCTCCTCCCTAAACAAATGTCTTCAGCAAGGGCTATCAGAGAAATCACTACACAAACAAGAAGCAGTGCCCAGTGCATCGCAAAGGCATTACAGGCTGGCCTCTGTGGACCGGGCCCAGGTGAACTCATCGCAACCTGCCCCAGGCCCTTAGGGCACATCTTGGTGACCAGTGCTGGGGAAAGTGCCCCTCTCCACACTGCCCTGCAGCCAAGCTGCTGCACTGACGCACCTATGTCCTAATTCCGCCAGTCCGCTGGCCATAGGCGCCCAAGCAGAGTGAGCCACTTGGCCGTGGTACGCGGGCCAGGACGGCAGTCTTGGCCGAGAAGGGAAGCGCGGGCCGGCCTGAGGCCCTGCCTCTCCGTGCAGAGGTGGGAGGCTCCCCCAGCCTCTGAACCCAGTCCAGAAGAAGAATGCCCGTAGCCATGTTTTATTTTTGTCCTCGTCAAGGTTAAAAGGAGTTTCTATTCTAAACCAATTTACACTCACAACATTATTGCAAAAGGAAACAGTTCTAAAAACCAAAAGCACATTTAGCCTGAGTGACTTAAAAGTTTAAGCAGACTCAGTTTAGGAACATCTCTCTCCACAATTACATGTTCTTAAAACAAGCGCCCCCCCCACCCCCTCCCCCACCAGGAGACTTGCTGCTTCTTCAACTTGGCTGCATCTGAAATTTCCTTCCTGGCACCAGGCGAGCAGGCTGAGGAAGGAAGAGAGCTCAGCCGGCAAGGAGGCCCTGCCCCAGAGCGTCCACAGCACCTCTCCTGGGCCTCGGAACCACTAGGGCCTGTGGCTACTGAGGTGGCCGTGTAAGAAAGATGCCTGGAAGTCAGAGGGTGCTCCCAGTGTGTGCTCCCAAACCTAAACTGGTACTGACCAGAGGGCCCAGAGTGAGGGGCAGCACAGCCTGCAGACAGTCCCAGATTCACATCACAGCCCCAGCAGAGCCTGAGCTGGGCCAGCCCTCTGACTCCTGAGTCAGTGCCCACAGGCGCACAGTGGGGGACAAGCCCCAACCTTCACACGGCAGCTCTGCCGCCCCCTCCGAAAGGCGGACTATCTGTCTGCTAAAGGCGAGTGCTCTTCCTGGCGCTGCAAGGTGAAGGCCATTCAAAACTTCCCAGTAGCCCATTCCCAAGCCTACAGTGCTGCCATTTAGGTCAGAGGGTCCTGTGAAGACCGCATGACACCTGCAGTGTTTCCACCTCTACACACGTCCTCCTCTCCCCCGCTAGGGACCCTGGATGTCCAGCTCTGGCCCTCGCAGAGGAGAGGGACTACAGGGAGGAGATTGGCATCTCAGTCAGACACAGCTGAGTCTGAACCTTGGCTCTGCTTATGAGACGTGTGACCTTGAAGAAATCACTGGACCTTTCTGAGCTCTGAGTATCCATGTGTAGCAGGAAAACATCCTGAAAAGCTTCAGACAGAAAGAGTTACATCAGTCGGCTCCAATGTCGCTGCCTGGGCTTACATACTGAGAGAAGCCCAGGTTCTGAGTCCAACAAGAACTAGTCACTATGCTTGTAGGAGCTACATATAAGACTTGACTCTTTCTTTTCTTCTTGGAATACTTTTTTTTTTTAAGCTTATCTTTATTGTTGAATGTATTACAGATGTTTCTCATTTTTCCCCCATTGACCCCCTCCTCCCCACTCCCACCCAGCTCCTGCCTTTCCCCACACTGTTGTCTGTGTCCCTTGGTTATGCATATATACATATAAGTTCTTTGGTTTACTTCTTCCCACCCTCCAACCCCCCTTTCCTTTGAGGTTTGTCAGTCTAGCAACCAATTTGTACTTCTTAATCCCTTCACCTTTTTCACTTATTCCCCCAACTCCCCTCCCACCTGGCAACCAACAAAATGTTCTCTGTATCTATGAGAATGTTTCTGTTTCTGCTTGTTCATTTTGTTTGTAGATTCAATTGTTGATAGATATGTATTCATTGCCATTTTGTTTGTTCATATTTTTTATCTTTTTCTTCAAGAAGACCCTTCAACATTTCATATAATAACGGTTTGGTGGTGATGAACTCCTTTAGCTTTTCCTTATCTGGGAAACTCTTTATATGTCCATAGATTCTAAATGACAGCTTTGCAGGATAGAGAAATCTTGGTTGTAGGTTCTTGCTTTTCATCACTCTGAATACTTCTTGCCACTCCCTTCTGGCCTGCAGAGTTTCTTTTGAGAAATCAGCTGACAGTCTAATGGGAACTCCCTTGTAGGCAACTAACTGCTTTTCTCTTGCTGCTTTTAAGATTCTCTTTGTCTTGAACCTTTTGAATTTTGATGATGATGTGTCTTGGTGTAGGCCTCTTGGAGTTCATCTTGTTTGGGACTCTCTGTGCTTCCTGGACTTGTATGTCTGTTTCCTTCACCAAGTTAGGAAAGTTTTCTGCCATTATTGTTTCAGATAGGTTTTCGATTTCTTGTTCTCTCTCTTCTCCTTCTGGCACCCCCAAGATGCGAATGTTGGCACGCTTGAAGTTGTCCCAGAGGTTCCTTACACTATCCTCATTTTTTTTGGATTCTTTTTTCTTTTTGCTGTTCTGATTGGGTGTTTTTTGCTTCCTTATATTCCAAATCGATGGTTTGCTTCTTGGCTTTACCTACTCTACTACTGAATCTGTGTAAATTATTCTTTATTTCAGTTAGTGCCTCCTTCATTTCTGACTGTGCATCCATCATTTCTGACTGGTCCTTTTTTATGCTCTTGAGGCCCTCACTAAGTTCACTGAGGTTCTCACTAAGTTCATTGAGCATCCTTATAAGCAGTGTTTTGAACTCAGCATCTGTTAGGTTGCTTATCTCCATTTCACTTAGTTCTTTTCCTGGAGTTTTGATCTGTTCTTTCATTTGGGACCTGTTTCTTTGTCTCCTCATTTTGGCTGCCTCCCTGTGTTTGTTTCTGTGTGTTACTTAATGAGAGTTATGGGGCTTGCTGAGACCAGATGCTGCTTTGAAAGAATTTAGAAAAACCTGAAGCAGGATCCAAGACAGGCCAATCCTATGGTAAAGCAACTGGCAACAGCTTGGGTGGGTCTGAAAGTTGGGTGGGGCATGGCCTCAGGGAGTCAGCAGGGCGGGGCTACCAGTGTGAGCCAGGTTGCTGGAGTCCCAGATATGGCGGCTGTCTGCTGCCCCAGGGAAGGGCTCACCAAAGGATCAAAGGCCTCTGACAGCACGTTTGTCCCAAAGAAAGCCCCCTCTCCAGCCCTCGATCCAGTGCCAAACAGCTCAGTTCTTCCCTGTATGTCTCTGGCACCCCTCGAGCTGCCTCCCCTCCAAGCTTAGAGGGAGTGAGTCAGAAAAGTTTGTGCGTGGGCCCTTTAAGAGGAGCTGCCTGGGGCTCCAGCCACCTCAGCCTCCCTCACAGCCTCAGTTCCCGCTGGTTTTTCCAGCAGGAAGTTATAGGGATTCTCTTCCTGGCACTGGAACCCTAAGCAGGGTGCCTGGTGTGGGACGGGGACCCCTCAGTCCTCAGGGAGGACCTTCCCAGCCGAGATGTCCTCCTGATTTTTATCTGCCACACGTGGGTGTGGGACCAGCCCATCCGCCTCCACCCCTCCTACCATAGTTGTAGGACTTCCATTCAGCTTGATTTCAGGTGACTTTGAATGATGGTTGTTCTGTAGTTTAGTTATAACTTTGATGTGGTTGTGGGAGGATGCGATCACCTACGCCGCCATCTTGACCGGAAGTCATCTATTCTTGGAATACTTTTTAAATCATGTAACACAGTCCCCGCCGAAGATTAATAACAAAACAGTTTCTTAGAGATTATAAAAATCTCCTATAAATTTTAAGTGAGTACAGCAGAATAGACAGAAGCAAGGTCCAGCGACCCAACAACAGATGGATCGAATCTGTAAGGAATCCAGCCTGGTTGATCCAACCCTGGTTCCTGCCACCACCTCTGTCCCGACCTCTGAGCCTCGGCCTTGCGTCTTCGAGCTGGCAGGCCATCAGATCTCAGCCCCATCCTTTCAAGCTCTATCCTTCATGCTTCCCCAACCAGAAGGTGACAAGGGAACAAAGCAGCCCCACAGTTAGTGAGGGCTCGACGGATGTACAAGAGGGACGATGGTTTGGCAAGAAAGCAGCCGAGCATCCTTCCCCTGATGGCACAGGTGCTGAAGCCGACACCCCAGAGGGAGGAGTAGGTGAAGGGGTCTGGTCTGACCAGCAACTGGTGTCAGCCCCCAGCAGCCTGTTGCTTCCAGCTCAACAGCAGGGCTCAAGCGTGGCTCAGCCACCTCGACGGGCATTCCCAGTCTCAGTGCGTGGCTGTCCTTCGTCTTCGCTCTGATCTGGAGGAAGGCAGGGCAGCCCCCCGTCACAGCTGTCATTCACCCAAAACCCAGCTGCTTCACTGTCTCTTGAGCTTCTCCTCAGAAAGGCCTTTTGGGTGGGGTTCAAGGAAGGGCAGTAAGGACCTACCCAGAAAACAAGCAGGATGTCTAAATCCACATTAAGACAGTCACATCACTTGAGCTGCCATCCACTGCCTGCCGACTGCCTCCCCACCCTCACCCGCAATGGTATTTCCAGGCGCAGGAACAGGCAAGCGCAGCCACTTGGGAACAACTCTGATGCACACCCGTTTTTTCCTGACAAGTCTAAAGTCTCCATTTTGACCTGTTCTCTTAGAAACTGCACCTACTGTTGTTATAAAGGAGTTAGGGCCTGCCAAGTTCACCGGGACCCAGGGGAGTCAGCAACCAAAGGAGCAGCAGTGGAAACAAGCCCCTAAAATACCGAAGAACCTCAAAACACTCTGCCGTGGGCTCTGAACAGACAAACCCTTATTTAAAGTATACATTTATTTTGCATTTTTGGCATGTATTTTTAAAAGATACTTGACACAATTTCAAAGCACATTATTAAAGTCAAACTTGTTAAAGCGCTCAGGCCCACGCACGTGCGTTCCTTAGGCAGAGGCTGCCCCGGAGGGAACGCCAGACCCCAGTCCTGGTGGCGGCCTCTGCGACAGGACACAGGAAACGGGTTTTTCATACTACACTCTGAACCAAGGACATATGTTCTGAATTCAAAAAAAAATAGCTCTTTTTTAGAACTTAAAAAACTTAGTAAACAACACTAAGATAAACTGCAATTGAAGAAAGAACTTTTCCCCTTTCATTTTGAAATGAGCCTTTTTGTCTAATGGCATCCTCCCCTAAGAAAAGCCTTTATTTCTTCACTTTGGTGGCTGTGGTAAGGCATTCTAAATATTAAACATCCTGCTTTCTTTTAAATTCACTGTAAACATTCCTGTGCAGGGGCCTCTGCAAACCAGCTCCTGGCGTGCCAACTTCTTCATTTCAAACCTCCCTGTCGGCGCCCAGGGCCTGGCGGCACCCGGCCTGCAGCGTGCTCCTCTCTGAAGCGCGCTCTGTTTCCCTGCTCGGCATCCCCAAGGGCAGCCTCTGAGGAGGCTTCTGACAGGGCACCACAAAAGGAACCCCGCACAGGCCATCCCCGCCCAGCGCTCACTCGGTAGGCCCCAGCAATGAGCAAAGGGCAGTGAACCTGCAGCCAGAAGAGCTGGTGCTAGACTCTGGCTCTGGTTCCTCACCTGAGCAGCCTCACCTGATGCCGGGAGCAGGAGGAGGGCAGCCGGGACCCGGAAGGGGGGCAGTCCCAGGGACCCGGTGCTGCCCATCAGGTGGAAGCCCACCCAGTCCAGTCTTACCCTCCACGGGAAATACTGGTCTTCCAGGCGGCCAATTCCCAGGCACCCTCGGATGTTCTTGCCCCATACAAACAGCTCTCCTTTGTCTGCAAAGAAAGAAAAACGGTGGCTTGGTTGGGATGAGGCCAAGGGCAAGTCTCCAAGAAGAGGAAGGGTCATGAGAACAGGCTTTCCAGAACCTGGTACAAACAGAGCCCAGTGTTAAACTTCAACTTCTACCAGACAGTAATGCTTTCTTTGAAGGGAAAAGTATACTGCCCTCATACCGAAAACATGTCCAAGCCCAGATTTGCACCTTGTCCCTCACATGGGAGATGAGTATGTGCGCAGAGCAAGGGCCAAGGCGGCTCCCACACGGCCCACTCTGCTTATACCCCCTGCATATGCCCTTCGCCCATAGCTATGTCCAACCAAACCCTGCCCTCCACAAATCCCAAAATCTGAGCATCCTCAAAGTAGGATGACTGTCATTCCTTGTCTGGGTTTCCGCATCTCAGGAGTACTCAGTCAAGTGACACGTGGTGCCTGGGTACCTCTGTGGGCCAGGTCTTGGTCTATGTGTTGGCAGGTAGAACAGGACAGTAACTAAACATGCTTGGTTCCTGTCCTCATGGGACTAGTTGAATAACTAGAAATAAAAGACCAAACTAGTACACACATGCTTACAAACTGTAAAAAGTCCCAAGAAGGAAAAGGACCAAGAGGCTGCTGCAGAGGATGTCTCAGGAGGCTGCATGTAGCTCAGGGCCCTGAGGATGCCAGCCTCCACGAAGGGGCCCAGGCCTGGTGGGGCAGCCTCCCACCACCCAGCCAGCCTTCAGTTCTGACTTCCATCCACATCAGCTTTGGCCACTCCTTGGGAGCAGTGACCCCAATTAGCCACCCCACATCTGGCAAGCAGAGGTAGAAAAGACATGGAAAAGCCAGGACTAAAGTAATATGGGCTGATTAAATAGGAATCCTCTTGTTACAAGCTGTCAGAGCCCCTCTGGTCTGACCATCACCCTTGGTCCTCTACCCTCAGATTTCACTTGTTTAACAGAACAATTCCATCCGGCCTCAAATGTTAGCAGACTTCAGGGTCAACCAAGCAACCCCAGCTCCCGCTGGCTATATGCAAACTCCAGGCACAGACAGGGAAGCCTGAGGTCTGGTGCTCCCTCCACTGAGGGACAGGAACTGGCACTTAGAGGCTGGCTGCTGCGTCTAGGGGAGAAGCTACACAGGGATTTCATTTCCGTGTGACCCAACCGGCCACATGGCATGATGGCAAGCAGAAAATAGTCTGCTCTGGTAGGACACTTCCTGTGGGCGTCCAGGTGCGTGACTCTGCACACAGTGGGTGCCTTAGAACACCCTGGAAATCAGATCATCAGTGCCTCCAGAATTAGTCCACAACGACTCTTATTTACTAAGCCTAAGTAGCTTTGAAAACTCACGTGAACTAGGCTCATCTGCGATGGACGTGGCTGCCTCTGCCTGTGCGGGTAAGGGAGCCTCCACCCGCCAGCACGGCCACCAGTGGGCGCTGGCTGTAACGCCAGCCAGGTGAGACCCCCGCCCAGCAGCACAGCATCCCAACCGCCGAGCGCCTCCTGGCCCGAGCCTGGTGCACAGGCAGCACTGAATGGTGATCATCTGGAACAGGGCTCACACGGCACTGGGCCAGAGAACACAAACAAGGATGACCCGAACTGACTGTCCCAGCCAGATGTTTAAAAGAAAACAATTACTTACCATGAGACAAAAAGGTTTTTTAATTGCAAGGAAATAGTGAATTTGCATGAGAATCACAAAATGAAATGAAATTAATACAGTCTGAGGATTCAAGTCAACTGCAGAGGAACAGACCGAACCGCCGTCACTGTGGAACAGGAGATGCGGTCAAGGGAAGCACACGTGCTAGAGGCCCGCAGTGGCTGGGTGCTGTGGTGCGTCGTCCGGTGGACCTGAGAAAGTCTCCATCCCCTCTGGCATCCTCTCCCCCAGCACTCTGGAGAAATCGGGCAGATTTACTTCCACAAAACCACAGGATGGTCTTACAAGTGTGCCCCTTGCCATCCCACGTTCCTGGGTCAGATCTGGGTTTGGGCTTGGCCAGGCAGTGGGATTAAGCCCCACATATTCATTTCCTAATTACCTACCATGGATTTGCCAAACCTCTGCTGGTTTCCCCCAGCACCCCAACATACTCAAGGGTCCCCTCTCCTACCACCGATTGGTATCCTCTTGAGAAAACTCACTTTCACATTAGACTAACCACAAACCAAATGAACCAAAACAAAACTACAGGATGAAAAAAAGATACACATTATATAACCTCAAGCCAAACAACTTCTGGATTAGCTGCTCTCTTTAATTATCCACACAAGGGCACCACTCCACCGGTGGATGGAAACTGAGAGCTGCCCAGTCTGGGGCTGCACCTGAGAGAGTGAAGCTCTGTCCGTCTCTGGGCCGCATGGCTTGGTCACTTACTGGTAAGGGCAGCAAAGTGGCTGAGTCCACATCGAATGCGGGAAACCTGGACTTCTGGGTTGAACTCCATCAAGCCAAAGAGAGTGGGTGGAATCATTTCTGGAAGAGCAGTTTCCAGTAGGTTTGGTCCTTTCCCAAGAATTCCATAGCCCCAGACAAAAACATGTCCTTCTCCTACATTACAGGAAAAACAACGGTCAGTAAGTCCAACCAAGAGCAGCCCTCACTCACTGGAAACGCGAACGGCACCAAGATGCAGTACATCCACATGCATTTTTTTCTCCTTGCTTGGCAAGAACATGCTGACAGATATTTAAAATAATGTTTCTTTTCTCCTCTTCCAAATTCTTGCTTGTGGAGTATGTCTAGCCAACTCACCAATCTCAGAATACAAACTTCCCACATCTTGAGGGTAACCTGGACAGGACCAATCCATAAATCACCCAGAAACCCCATGTGAACACAGGAGAACCTTCGAAGGACAGTTTTTCCTAACTGCTCTATGTTCCACATTGGTCGGAAGACCAAGCCAAGTACTAAACAACATTTGGCCAGATTCCTAAAACTCTTAGAAATGATTTTTTGGTTATAAAAAGTTTAATACTCATCAGCAGTACCAGATGTTTAATCCCAGAGGCATGGCTCTCAGTATCTAAACCCTAAGGCTCTTCTCCTATCTTGTTTCTTGGCACAGCTCTCTGGAGAAGGCAGAGCGGGAGTCTCTGGCCCAGCTAAGGGACAGGGAGAAAATGCACTCCCCCTTTCAGAGGTCTGCTACAGAATTACTAAGCTCTGAGCTGTCTACATAAAGATCACGCTGTCATCTCTGTCAGAATGTCACCTCACCCTCTATTAGCTGAACTCAACCTGCCTGGATCTTCCCCAGCCACATTCCCTTCCTTGGGATGAGGTCTGCTGCCTATGAGTCCAGTGGGCACTGACCCTTCCCTCTCCAGCCCACCTAGAGATGCCCAGAGAGTCTGCAAGAGGGTCTCACCATTTAACACAGCACAGCCTGTGCCACCGCAGGCAGCCTGCTTCACCTTGCCCACTCCCGAGAAGGGTAAGCACCGGGGGACGTTCACCTGAATCAAAGGAAGGGTCCACACTGTTAGGAAGACAAACCAGCAAGAACTTGGAAATAATCTGGTCTTGTGTACAGAATACACAAGTACCATTCATTCATTCACACCACAGGTATTTCCAAAACACTGAACATATGCTAACCGTCTAACTGGGTGTTGGAAAGACGAGGGGAATAAGAAGCCAGTCCCTCTCTTAGTCTAGTGGGAGGTAGCTGCCAGCCCAAATTAACATAATTTGTGCCGAATGCAGTGAAGGCGTACAGGGTCTCTGAGAATGAATGTCAGGGAGACCAATCTAGTTTGGGGGGAGGAGTAGTCAGGGAAGGCTGCATGGTCTCCTGCGACCTGAAAGATGAGAAGAAGTAAGAGGCAAGGGGAGAAGAGCAGGATATGACAAGCAGGGGAGATGGATGTGCAAAGGGAATGAGGTGAGCATGGCACATTCGAGGAGGTTAAACCAGGTCAGAGGGGCTAAAGCAGGGGACGGGGTGGAATACAGTGCAAGATGCTGGTGGGGAGAGGGGGCCAGACCATGCAGGACGTTATGGAGAAGGACCAGAGTGGGGGGATGAGCATGAGCTCACTTTCAGACCTACTGAACTCGCAGTGCCTGCAGACGATCAACTGAAATGGCAAGTGCTCCTTAGTGATGTCTGGAACTCGGGTATGTAAGCTGGAAAGTCATCAGTATATAGACGGCAAATGCAGCCAGGGGTATGGATAAGATCTTCTAAAGGGGGAATATGGAGAAAAAAAGAGCAAAATCCACACCATGAGGATCCTCAACATTTAAAGGCCTGGCACAAGAGGGAACCAAGTAAATGAGACCAAGAAGACACGACAAAAAAGACAAGAGAGCACTAGAAGAGTCTAGTAACGGGGGCAAAAGAAAGCATGGTTTTCACGAAGTGGTCATGGTCAATGTCAAATGCTGCTGAGAGGTCAAGAAAGATAAAGAGTGAAAAATGTTCTCCAGACTCTTATTATTTTTAGCAACATGGATGCCATTGGTAATTCTATCAAGAGCCACCCAGCAAACTAATAAGGTGGAAACTAAGTGAGACAGACTACAAAGTGAATGGGAGATGAGGAAACAGTAAGTAAATGCAGCCCCTGAGACGCCTGTCCTAGGAGGAAGCAGGGGGTGAAGCAAAGGGCTAGGGGTAGGGAGAATGGAGGAGATGGAGGAGTCCACACAGGGTTTTTTAAGATGGAAGACCCATAAGACAGGGGTAAAGACTGACAGAGGGACCAGGAAAGGACAGGCTGAAGTTATGGGAAAGAAGGCCCAGCAGATGGAGTATGGCTTCTGAGAAGGTGGAAGGATGGGATCCAGGACAGAGAGAAGAATCAGCTTTAGCAGAAGATACACCTCCTCCACTGCTAGAAAAAGGAATGGGTCCAGGGTGGGTACAGACACAGGTACGTGTTTGGGAGCCATAGTAGGAAACTGAGGGCATTCTCATCTGACAGCATCCGTTTTCTCTATTAAACAGGAGGCAAGATCTGCTGAGAGTGAGAGATGGGAGGGTCCGGGTTTGGAGAGTGAAATGTGGCCAACTTAGCTTTCCAGCAGGATTTGGTCTTGGCGCTTCTACTGAGGAATAACTTTGGAAAGATAGCTTATGAGTGTTTCAGTGACAGCCATGAATCTTCATAGATTCACTTTCAAATGGAGACAGCAGAAAGAGAACAGTTGACTCGAAAGGAGTGAAGGGGCTTACCAATGCAGAAAGTGTACGCCTAGATAAAGTCGGGCCGTCGGGGCTGGGGCTGGGCCTGGGCCTCTGCTGCCTGGCTCCCAGAGCCTCCTCCCCTCACTGTGCTCTGGCAGGAGGCCCGCAGCAAGCACTGAGAAACACTCTAGCAAAGCCACTGGAAACATACCACTGTTGTCACTGACAGGATGAGGCTCACAGTAAAGAATCATGGTTATGATGGGCTACTTCAGCGATGACGCCCAATAATCCTGGTCCCCTCCTATTCACCTTGTGTCATCCCCACCCTGAGTAAGGGCTGGACCTAGTGACTTGCTTCTAATGAGCAGAATACCAGCAAAAGTGAGGGGAAGCCAGAGCCAAGGTTCAGTGATGAAACCTTGGCTGCTGTCTCACTGGCACTCTCTTGCCTTCTCATTTGCTCACTCTGATGCAGCCCGATGCCATGTCACGAGCTACCACATGGAGAAGCCTACATGGCAAGGAACCATGGCAGGCTTGGCCAACGACTACTAGCTGGCCAACTACAGCGAGGAACTGGGGCCCCAGTCCAACAGTCTACAAGGACCTGCATCCTGCCAACCACCATCGGTGTGGCCCTGAAAGCAGAACCTTCCCCAGTTGAATCCTAAGATAACTGTAGCCTTTGAGAGTCAGAGCCAGAAGACACAGCTAAGCCACCCCAAAATTCCTGACCCACAGAAACTGTGAGGTAATGAGTGTTGTTTTAAGCCACTAAGTTTTGGGGTCATTTGTTATGCGGCAATATATAACAATGACATGATACTGGACCTGTCCCCCATGGGAAGGCCATGGGAAACATTTTTCTCAGACCTTGGCATTAGGAAGAACCTAATCTTACAGAAACAATGAATCATTTAAATGACCATGTTTTCTTCTTTGCTTTGGCCACTAGGAAGCTCAAAGCCAAATCTGCAACCACTTCTAGCCACTGAGCCAGATCACAGAGAACGCATTTTTTCATCTTTTTAGCTGATCTTTAGTTTCCTTTTGTGCAAGTTTCTTTATCATTAACATATATTCTGTATTTGCCAGAAGTTTAATGATATTAAAGAATAAAGAATGTTTTTTGTGTGTGTGTGTGTTTTTTTTTTATCCTCACCCAAGGACATTTTTCCATTTTTTTGTTCAGATAGAGTGGGAGGGAGAGAGAGGAAGAGAGAGAGAGAGAAACATCGATGTGAAAGGGACACATCGAGTGGCTGCCACCCGCTCGACCAACCAGGGCCGGGGACAAACTGCAACCGAGGTATATGCCCTTAGCGGGAACCGAACCTGGGTCTCTCTGGACCACAGGCCGACGCTCTAACCACTGAGCCAAACCGGCCAGGGCTAAAGAATGTTTTTTAAATAGTCCTTATCTTTTAGAGATACATACTGAAACTTCTATAGATGAAGTATGATATCAAAATAATCCTAGGCAGAGTAGATGGAATTAAAGATGGGACAAAACTGGCCATTAGGGAATATGGGTTTTTTGGGGGTGGCGGGAGGTTAATGAAAATGTCTGGCATTAGACAGTGGTGATAGTTGCACATCCTTGTGACTTACTAAACACCACTATTTTATATACTTAAAAATTGTGAATTATATCTCTATTTTTAAATGGGCCATTAATTGGTAATTGTTGAACATGGGTCATGGGTATATAGAGATGAATTATGCAATGAGCTCTCCTTTTTGTTTATATTTGAAGTTTTCTTTAATAAAATGTTTAAAATTCTACTGTAGTTTGTATTAATGGTGTCTTGCTTCAGTGACAAGGATGGGCTAGTGGTGAGGAGAGGCAGGGCTTCTGGAGGGCTGCTGGTTTCTACTGCTTGATCTGGGTGGGGTCACACAGGAGTCTTCATCGAGCTGCTCACTTATGATCTGTGTGCTTTTAGGACACGTATGTTCCATTGCAACAAAAAACACACTGTGACATCATAGGAACTGACGCAAAGAGCCTCGTATCCCCTTTAGAACAAGACAGGGTACCCAGGCATACCAAAAATGCTGCTCTAAACCAGGACTGTCTTATCAAAGTATTGATAATAATGGCTTTTGAACCTAAGCTTTCTTTCTGGGCTCCAATGAGACTGTCAAGAACGTGGAACCTTGAAGAGGCAGTCTTACAATAGGTTAGGCCTTAACATTCTACCACTTTATACATCACACTTTGGGGAAGAACCTCTTATAAATGTCCTGAGCATGTCATATTTACACACCTCCTAGCACTGTGCTGTGACCTCCTACCTGTGTGGAGTCCGTGACAGAGGCCAGCTGCAGGTACTCTGAGTTGCCCCAACCGAAGAGGTCTCCATCAGCAGACACAGCCAGGCAACAATCACCGTAGGTGGCAGTCTGGACAATGTTCACTCCCGCAAGGTCTCCACCCAGTTTGGTAGGCGTGCTGGTGATATTGTAGTGACCCAGACCTAACACAATGGAAAAAACTTACTTTTAGTTATTTATTCTCTTACCACCTACACAGACTTATTATACGCCAAACACACTTTAAGTACTTGACAAACATCAAAAACCCTAATCTGTTCCTCTGTATGCCACCAACTTCCACCTCCATGTTCTTTCAGAGGAGGAAAAGGACGTAATTGTAATTGGATCATTTAAAAACCCTTGGAATTTTCTAGATCTGATTCAAAATAGAAAGCTTCTCAAGTGAAATCCCACTATACAATGAACATATCAGACCTTGCATATATTACAACAAGCAATTTCGAATGCGTTGCTGAGCTTGCTGGAAAATAAAGAAAATCTCACACAAACCCTCTACCCCACCTCACCCTAAAAAGTAAATGGAAATAGGCAAAGCAGCACGGTAAACAGTAAACAGAAAAGACAGGGCTTGCCTGAAGGGCAATGTCACTCTGAGCACTGTGATGGAGGGTAATCCCTGGGCAGCATACCGAGGCAAAACACTACAGCACAGATTCTGGCTTCCAGGGGCTTCCTCACTGAGTCAGACTGGCAGGGCCGTTGACAACAACCAAAAGTAAATCCAAATCCTCTCTAGGGGAAAGCATTTCCAACTTAGGCCCTTAGAGTTTCCACTAAGTAAATTCAATAAAATATGATATCACAATAAAAAATTACTAAACTCTTGCCCAGCTGGTATAGCTCAGTGGTTGAGTATCAACCCATGCACCAAGAGGTTGCCGGTTCGATTCCCAGTCAGGGCACATGCCCAGGCTGTGGGCCAAATCCCCAGTGGGGGGCGTGCAGGAGGCAGCCAATTGATGTTCTCTCTCGCCGATGTTTCTCTCTCTCTCTCTCCCTTCCTCTCTCTTAAAATCAATAAAGGAAAAAAAAATTACTAAACTCTTAAGGAAAAATGTCACTATGAGTAAGAGCAAACAGAACCAACACACGACCTATTTATACCCTCCAGACTCCAGACACTAGAATTATGATATACAAAATAAAAAGTAGCCCTGGCCAGTTTGGCTCAGCGGTTAGAGTGTCAGCCCCCAGATCAAAGAGTCCCAGGTTCAATTCCAGGACATATACCTCAGTTGCGCTTCATCCCTGGCCCCGGTTAGGGTCATGCAGGAGGCAACCAATCAATGTGTCTCTCTCACATCGATGTTTCTCTCTCTTTCTTCCTCTCTCCCTCCCTCCCACTCTATCTGAAGATAAATGGAAAAATGTCCTCGGGTGAGGATTAAAAATAAATAAATAAATAAATAACTCAGTGCAATGTTCAAAGAAATAAAAACAGGAATAAGAGACTACAGAAAAGGCCCGATAAATTTAAAAAGGAAATAACTAGCCCAGCTGGTGTGGCTCAGTAACTTGAGCGTCGTCCCATGGACGGAGAAGTCCTGGTTCAATTCCGGGTCAGGGCACACGCCCAGGTTGCAGGTTTGATCCCCAGTAAGGGGCATGCAGGAGGCAACTGATTGATGTATCTCTCTCACACAGATATTTCTCTCTCTCCCTCTCTTCCTTCCTCTCTCTCTAAAAAAATCAATAAAAACATTTTTAAAATGTTTAAAAATAAAAAGGATGCCCTGGCCAGTTTGGCTCAGTGGTTGAGCATCGGCCTGCAGACCAGAGAGTCCCAGGTTCGGTTCCTGCTAGGCGCACGTACCACAAAAAATAAAAATAAAAAAAATAAAAATAAAAAGGAAACTATTAGAAATGAAAAAGTATAGTTAAAAACTCAAATGGATGGACAAAAAGACAAACAACAATCATTAACAATCAGTTAATGCAACACTATAACTAATAAAGACTACAGGTATAGAATATATAAAGAATTCTTAAAAATCAGTAAAAAAAAAAGAAGTAAAAAAAATGGGTAAAGACACCACATACATTTCAGAGAAGGAAAAGCAAGACTGGTCAATTAACACATGAGAAGATGCTCACTCTCAGTAGTAATTAGGAAAATGCAAATTCAAACCTTAATGCAATACGATTTCACATCCACAGACAAGAGGAAACTTTCAGGAGATAATACCAACTTGGCCTAGGCTGTGGAACAACACCCTCCTGCTGTGGAGGTCACTTGTTACAACTATTTTGGAAAACAATAATCGGAATACATATGCATAACCTATAACCAGCACTTCCACTCACAGAATCTTCACTACCGCTCCCAGAATTCTTGAGCATATGTACAAGGAGACACACCGATGATCACAGAAACACTGCTTGTTATGTAACAAAAAGTTGTAAACCATACAAATATCTATCAACAAAAGGTGAATAAATTGAGGTGTATTCCATAGTAGAATATCATAGAGCTATAAAAATAAACCGCAGCAGGATACAAAATCAACACACAAACCTCAACTGCATTTCTATATACTAGCAGTGAATAATCCAACAAAGAAAATTAACAAAACAATTCTGGTTACAGTAGCATCGAGAGGAGTATAATATTTGGGAATTAACTTAATCAAAGAGGTGAAAAACTTGTATAATGAAAACTACAAAACACTGCTAAAAGAAATTAAAGAAAATATAAACAGATGGAATTTTCTAGGTCTGATTCAAGTTAGAAAGCTTCTCAAGTGAAATCCCACTATACAATGAACATATCAGACCTTGCATATATTACAACAAGCAATTTCGAATGCGCTGCTGAGTTTGCTGGAAAATAAAGGAAAATTCACACAAACCCTCTACCCCACCCCACCCTAAAAAGTAAATGGAAATAGGCAAAGCAGTATGGTAAACAGTAAACAGAAAAAACAGGGCTTGCCTGAAGGGTAATGTCACTCTTCATGAACTGGAAGACAATATGTGAAGATGTCAATACTATCCAAAGTGATCTACAGATTCAATATAATCCCTATTAAAATCCCAACAATATTTTTTGCAGAAATAGAAAAATCCATCCTAAAGTTCACATGGAATTTCAAAGGACCCCAAATAGCTAAATGATCATAAAGAGGAACAAAGTTGGAGAACATACACTTTGTGATTTCAACTTACTATGAAGCTTCAGTTATCAAAACAGTGATACTGACACGAAGAAACAGAGACCAATGGCACAGAACACTGTCCAGAAATGAAGCCTCGCTTATATGGTCATAAGATTCTTTGAAAGAATCCCAAGACCATTCAATAGGAAAAGGATAGTCTTTTCAACAAAAGGTGCTGGGAGAACTAGGTATCCACATGCAAAAAATTTAAGCGGGACCTTTAGTTAACACCATATACAAAAATCAACTCAAAATGGATCAAAAACCTAAACGTAAGGACTAAAACTATAAAATTCTTAGAAGAAAACCCAGAGTAAAAGTTTCACAACACTGGATTTGGCAATGAACTCTCAATATATGACCCGAAAAGCACAGGCAACAAAAGAAAAAATAAGTTGTTAAGAGAGCAGATCGTAAGAGCTTTTATCATAAGCAGAAATTTTTTTTCTATTCTTTTTATTGTGTCTGTGTGAGATGATGGATGTTAACTAAACCTATTGTAATCATTTCACAATATATAGAATTCAAACCATCATGTGGTACACCTTAAACTTACACAGTGATGTATATCAATTATTTCTTAATAAAACTGTAAAAAAATTTTAAAGAAAAAATACACTAATGAAAATTAAAATCTTTTGTGCATCAAAAGACACTACCAACAGAGTAAAAAAGCAACCCACAGAATGGGAGAAAATATTTGCAAATCAAATATCTGATAAGAGATTAATATTCAGTATAGCAAATTTAACTACAACAAAAAACAAACGACCCAATTGAAAAATGATCTTCAAAGAAGATATACAAAGGTCCAATAAGCACATGAAAAGATGTTCAACATCACTAATCATTAAGAAAATACAAATCACAAACGAGATAACACTTCACATCTATTAGGATGGCCACTATTAGAAAAATAAATAAATAACAAGTGTTATGGAAGATGTGGAGAAATTAGAATTTCATAATATAGCAATATAATGTTGCTGGTGGGAATGTAAAATTGTGCAGTTGCTATGGAAAACAGTATGGTAGTTCCTCAAAAATTTTTAAATAGAATAACCTTATGATCCATTCCATTTCTGGATATATATCCAAGAGAGCTGAGAGCACAGTCCCAAAGAGATATTTGTACACCCATGTTTACAGCAGCATTATTCCAATAGCTAAAAGGCAGAAACGGAAGAATGGATAAGCACAATGTGTTATATACATACAAGGGAATATTATCCAGCCTTAAAAAGGAAGTAATTCGGACAGATGCTAAACAATGGATAAACTCTGAGAACATCATGCTAAGTAAAATAAGTTAGTCACACACAAAAACACAAATACTGTATGATTCACTCATATAAGGCACCTAGAGTCAAACTCATAGAGGCAGAAAGCAGAACAGCAGTTGCCAGGCTGGGAGGAGGACAGAATGGGGAGTTACTGTTTAATGGGTATAAAGTTTCGGTTTTACAAGATGAGAGAGTTCTGGAAATGGATGGTGGTGATGGTTGCACAACAATATGGATTTACTTAATACCAATGAACTGTACATTTAAAAATGGTTCAGGTGGTGAATGTTATGTGTATTTAACCACAATTTTTAAGAATTGAAGAAAGCCCTGGCTGGTTTGGCTCAGCAGTTAGAGCGTCGGCCTGTGGACCAGAGAGTCCGGGGTTCAGTTCCCGCAAAGGACTCGTACCTCGGTTGCAGTTTGTCCCCGGCCCCAGTTGGGGTTGTGTGGGTGGCAACCAGTTGATGTGTCTCTCTCACATCGGTGTTTCTCTTCCCCCCACCCCACTCTATCTGAAGATAAATGCAAAAGTGTCCTCGAATGAGGATAAAAAAAAAATTTTAAAAAACAAGTTGAGGCTAAAACTGGCAAAACTGGCCTCCCCAGCTATCAGGGCAGGGGGTGGAGGGAGGAATGAACAAACTGCAGATATCTATAATACAGCTGATTCTTAAGAAACATAATGTTGAGCTTAAACCA